ATACCCAAGGACAAGAGCATCGGGCCAAATGCCTCAACTGCCGTATGCTGGCTCTTGCCCCACATGGGACGGGCCGTTCCGCAATCCCTAGCTGCGTAGTTAGCTTGCCACGACCGAACCGATCCCGAATCTCCAAGTCCAAGGAATACTGCTGATAGGAAATACTGCTAGTTGAGGAGGTACGGTGGGATGGTCGACTCTGACACAAAGAGCGATCAGAAGCTACTCTCGAGCTTCTCAATCGTTTGGTCCTGACGCAGTTTGCGACGGCGCAGCTTGCGCGGACAGGTTGACACTGCAATTCAGCAAGGGAGTTTGCAAAGGGCAGCGGCCCGTCGGTGCAGTACAGGAGGAGTATGTTTCGCCGCTCTTGAGCGCTAGTTAGGTCATCTTCGCACATATAGTAAGCTGAAAGCATCCGTGATTCATTGGTAATTCGGGGGGTTGTGGTCACGGCTTCTCAGAGAAGCGTCTGCTCACTGCATCGTCACTCGTGGCCGTAGAGAACTTCAACAACTTAGGTTCGATGGCTGAATGAGATATTGCGGGAATCTGAAAGGGCATAGATATGAGGTGGCAGGGCCCTGCCGGGGCCCGCTGGCTGTAAGACCCGACCGGGGCCTTCGGCGGTGCTTCAGCACTTCACGGCTGTGTGCGCAGACGTGGCGTTGCGGTCACATACGGGTTGGCCAACCAGTGAAGAAGCGCAAACACAGACCATGAAGTGAAGTAGTAGCTCTTGCGTGGCACGCATGGGCAGAGGCGGCACCCGCGACGCGGCGAGCGGCCGGCGGCTGGACAGTGGCCTCTAGCTGCAGTATACCAATCACACTGCAGGTGAGGCACACTCGTGCCTTCCATAACCTGCTGCCGGTTGCCTGCGCACCGCTCTTTTGGGTCTAGCGTGTGCGGGTGGGCAATATCTTGCTGTCGCCCGCCCGCCCTCCTCCTCCTCCTCCTCCTCCTCCTCCTCCTCATCCAACTCCTCCTCCATCTCTCTCTCCAGCGTCCACTGGGCAACATCCTTTCTTCCTCACTCTTTCTCTTCAAGATCTTGCTTCTCACTATCTTCCCTTCGCACCGCGCCGTCATGCGGCCGCATCGAGCTCAGTTTGACAGCTCCAGTCCTTGTGACACGGGCGCGCGATCAGACAACATGTCCGCGACGCGACGCTGTTTGCTTTACGCGAAGTGATCTTCTAGCGATGCAACAACAGCTGCCTTGCGCTCACAACGTGATCGCATGCTCTTCAGTAAGCTGTTCTTCGTTTCCCATTTGTCATCCTTTGCCGACCTTCTTGATCCCAGATCTTAGCAGCTTCGCGACTTCGTTCCTATGCAGCTAGTTCTCTACTGCAATATCTCAAAGTCGGCATGAAAACTGTCATGTCCACTGCTAACTTCTGATCTGAGTGCGTTGCTCTATTCTCAAGTCAAGTCACCCAGATCGTTCTGCACTTGCGCTTCTTTGCTTTCTCACTGACATCTCTGCAGAAAGACCTGACTACTCATTTTCATTCCACTGTCACTTCGCGCACGAGATCTTCAAGACCCGTTCACCTATCTTTCCCTTCCCTTGAGCCACCACGCCAGGATTTTTTTTTTTCTGAGAGGCAAGTTCACGTCTACCTTTTACCCCATGCCCTACCCGTATGATGATAAAGATTAAACTTTGAGTATTCTCAATGATGGAAAAATAAGGAAAGGATTAGCCACTTTTCTTCGTGATATAGATATCTGATTAGGAGACAAACTCACCTCACCGCGACTTGAAAGTTTCATGTCAAAGCCCTCGCTAACTTTTGGGAATGCATGGTAGGGACTCACGAACAAGAGAAGCTTCGTTCACTCAAAGGCGAAGACACTCGCATCGCAATACAGTGTCCCCACATGCAACAGACGTAAAAGAAGAAGAGGCAAGTTCGTTTCAATTCTCGCTCATTGCTCAAGATCTTGACTGACCATTTGAGCCATCTAGTGCGCGATGATCCGGGCAAATGGTAAGCGCCTTCACCACTTCCGTAACTAAGACCTTAGACAAGCCACTCTCGCAAACTGGCCACCGATGTGGCAACAGCTCGGCGGAGGCACATGATGAAAGGGATCCAGCATTCACGGTCAGTGAAACTTTAGCTTGAAGCGTTTTCCTTCCATGATGACAGAATTCAAAAGAATTCTGGTTGACTACACGCTTAGGCAGCCGCTCCGGCATCTCTGATTTGATCGAGGTCAAGTCGGGGGTGTTGGTGAAGGTTGCCGTTGATGACTTGAGCTACCTGAAATGACAACACGATTGAAGCATTCCCGTTACCGACACGTATAGCAGGAATTTGGCTAATCACTCGTTTACAGTAGTGCACCGAACACAGAAGCGCCTCCACGCCATGGAGGGGCTGGTTTCTTCCAGCTGCTACAGACCCGTCAAACATGACGCGAGATCAACTCAACCATTCCTGCTATGGACAGAACGGCAGACTAGCTCAATAAATTGCAACATGTAAGTACAGTCTTTTCATCTAGTTTACCTTGCACTGTTTCTCTTCAATGATAACAACTAGCGTGTCAATTGAACCCATCGGTGCCGTCGGAGGATGAGGTCAAAGACTTGCTGCAACGCAAACTTTGCGACTCTGGCGGGCGTAGGGGGATGAAAATATCGCAACCTTCTCGACTTGTCTGAACCGTCACTGACACTCTTGCTGTTTTTCTTATGCGTTGCAATGGGAGCTGTAGCTAACGACTTCGATGCAGATCAAGGCCAAAGCAGATCCAAACCGAGTCTGATGTTGGTACGTGAGATCTTCTCCTTGCTTCTTCTCTACCCAAGATTCCAATGATGATTTTGTATATGGCAATTGGAAAGGCATTCCTCGAGTGAGGCTATCGGCCGCTGAGCAGTCAATATTTTCTGACGAAACGAAACGCAACAAAGCTCCACCGGAGAGAAAGGATCCTTGCTAACAGGTCTCAGTGATCTATTACCGAGTAATGTGCGCAGACCCTCCGATATGAAGGTACGTTTACTACAAGCGTCATCCTACAGTCCCTTTTACCCCCGTCCGTTCAAGTGATGAAACAAAATCTTGTTGTCGTACACCCTAAAGCTTCCAGTACTTCAACCTGACATTGCCCGTGATGTTGCATGCTAATTGATAATTCTGATGTCGAACTTGCCCCTCCCTTGGAGAATCAGCCCAATCGAATGAACCGAGTTAACAAGGTTGGTGCTTGCTAGGCGTTGTGTCCGTCTTTGCGGAAAGCAATGAACAAAGATAAAGGAAGTCCCCTCACTCCTCCAGATCGAACTGCGCTGACCCCCTGGACCATTCGCTAGGGCATTTTGGCTGTTTTCCCTCCATCCATCGAAGCAACACACTTTCTCTGATGTACCGGCTTCCTTGACGACCAGCCTGCTTCTGCTGGGGCTAGAATATTTTTACCAGATGCTAGCGACCAGTCAGAATTAATGCTCCGCCAAAGCTGGGTGACGGATCGGTGAGTAATTTTTGAAATGATGCCTTTTTTTCATTCTTTGATGATGCAACATGGAAATTGATCAGTAAAACTGGTTGAATAATGATGATATCCATCGTATCGTTTCTCTGACCGCAGACACATACCACTTGGCTTGGAATCCCTCATACTAGAATTTGGTAAGGCTGATTCGTACAGGACCCTACCGGAATCCGCTTGAGAAACGCGCGCCTCGATTCATTGTACGGGCTTAGATCTTCCACCCCACAACGAGAGCAACAATCGTCATGGGGGATGCATACAAGGAAAGTTCCCCTTCAGCTACCCGTTTTGCATTCCGTGATGAGTCCAAATGAATCGCAAGACCCACCGACGGACGGTAGTATGATTTACTAATATTAGACATCTGAATGGAAAGAATCCAAGCATTGGAATTTGCAGTAATCTTGTTAGAGCAACGAGACCATTGCTGATTGGGACGACCAGGGTACCAAACAAGTAGACTGCCGCTGTAGAGCCGAGATGGAATATTTGGGATATAGAACCGGGTGTGGTAAGTCCATAATGTGAGTCCCTCCGCCTGTTTTGATCAGCATCCACGACCATGTTCCGGATGGTTTCAAGAGAAAGATAATTAGGCGTTGACTGCCGGTGAGCATTTTTACGTTCATCAAGGATACCCGCGTTCATCATGAATGCAGCATCCAAGCTCTCTGTCATTATCTGCGGATTTACAACCGCGAATCCTGGCTGGAAACACTTTTTCCACATGTTTGTGACTTGGTTGTAGTGGGGCCAAATCCTCTAAAACATTAACGGTTAGCTGACCCAATCGCGTAGATCCACTTTGATTAGACAGAGGAGCCAGGGCCAGCGTAGGTATTCTATGTCATCACGCTGCATCTTTCGATGCATCAACCAGCAAGCGCGGGACGTTGAACCCTTCCCAGCTTTCGCAACACTGCTACGAATGCCTGGGCAAAAGCTGATGAACTGCCGGTCTTCCGGGCCCGGAAGCCGGCAATGGCTAAGACGGCTTACAGACAACGGGAAACCATAGAGAATTATTGTGGGGTAGAAATGCGGGGGATCCGAGCGTGACGGCGGGCTGGCGCAGTCGCGTGGCTGAAACCAAGGGTCAACAACCGACGGCCCACGCGAGCGGGTCCTCTTGGCTTCACTTCCCTTTACGCCCGTAACCGCGGCCAACAGCTCCACGCGAACGCGAATCGGCGGTCCAGCGTTGCACCACCACCCTGCAATAAACCAGAACAATCTTAGAACCCGTCCATGCTGCGTGTTCAGTGTCCGAGATCCGGATGATCAGACCAACCGACCAACTGCTGACTGCGGCGCGGCCGTCCTCAGCCGAGGCACCCATGCGCCAGTAATGCACGTCAGTCAACGGAGCTCCGCCCAAGGCTCCACTATCATGGCCATGCCGCCGTCAGCCAGGCCCCCGTTCTCCTCTCTCCTCTCTCCTCCCCTTCTCACGCGTCTTAGAAGAGCCCAGGAACCCCATTGACATGCCCGGTATGCTGCCATTTCGCCCCCAACAATCGCCACGCGCCACAGCCGATAAGGAAAAAAGTAAAAAAAACGGTTGGAACCGGCCAAGCTAACGACCCGAATGCTTGATACCTAGTCCCCATTGCCGCCGCAGCGGCAGCCGCCGGCGCCGCCGCCAGCGCCGCCGCCTATCTCAACGCCAAATACCATATCGCGCACGACCTGCGTGGCGAGCTGCTGGCGCCCGTGGCCGCCGCCTACGTCGCCATGCGCTCGTACAAGAAGCGGCTGCTCAACCACCACGTGCTCGAGGAGCAGGCCGCACGCCAGCCCGACCACCCTTTCCTGATCTTCAACGCCGCGGGCGGCGACAACAGGCGCGAGTGGACCTACGCCGAGTTCTTGCACGACGTCCGCCGGGTGGCGAATTGGCTGAAGGACGATTTGGGTGTTGCGGTCAGCGAGATCGTCGCGCTCGACGGCGAGAATAGCCCTGAGTACATGCTTCTGTGGTTTGCGCTCGATGCCATCGGTGCCGTGCCCAGCTTCATCAACTGCAACTTGACCAGCAATGCGCTGGTGCATTGCGTGACGGTGAGCTCCCCAGACATCCGATCCTGACTAGGCGAAGTCGTCGTCCCGAGACCGAAAAAAAAAACTGTTTCTCACGCTGACATATTGTCCGTCCCGTACCTGCAGCTCTGCAAATGCCGCTACCTGCTGTGCGATGTCGAAACAAAGCCATTGGTCGAGCCGCACGAGGCTGAACTCCAACAATCCAACGTACGTCGCCGCCCTCCCCTCCCACACCACCAAACCCCCACCCACTAACACCACCCCGTCCCCATAGATCCGCACCCTCTACTACACCCCCACCCTCCTCACCACCCTCACCACCCCCTCCACCCCCATCCCCGCCCTCCTCACCTCCCCCCTAACCCCTCACTCCCTCCGCGCCCTCATCTACACCTCCGGCACCACCGGCCACCCCAAAGCCACGCAAATCTCCACCCTCCGCGACCTCCTCACCGGGCACATGGTCGCGCACGCCCTCCACCTCACCCCCTCCTCCCGCATGTACACCTGCATGCCGCTGTACCACATCGCGGCCCACAGCCTGTGCACGCTCGCGCTCCTCCACGGCGGCGGCACCGTCGTCCTCGCGCGCCGCTTCTCGCACCGCACCTTCTGGCCGGACGTGCGCGCCGCCCGCGCCAACGCGATGCAGTACGTCGGGGAATTGTGTCGGTACTTGATGAACGCGCCGGCGGACCCGGTGGGGGATAGGATGCACGAGGTGCGGTTGGCCTGGGGGAACGGGATGCGGCCGGATGTGTGGGAGGGGTTCAGGGAGAGGTTTGGGGTGGGGGAGGTGGCGGAGCTGTATGGCGCGACGGATGGGTTGGCGGGGAGCGTCAATGTCAATAGGGGGGTTTTTACGAGGGGGGCGTTGGCGCTGAGGGGGCGGGTGTGGCGGTGGAGGAATGGGGGGAGGTCGGCGATTGTGAGGGTCGATGCGGAGGGGGAGGTGGTGAGGGGGGAGAAGGGGTGGGCGGTGGTGTGTGAGGATGGGGAGGCGGGGGAGTGGTTGCAGCGGATGGATAGGCGGATGCCGGATGATGGGTTTGCGGGGTATTTTGGGAATCCGGAGGCGGGGAGGAAGAGGAAGTTGGAGGGCGTGTTTGAGGAGGGGGATTTGTGAGTGTTTTGCTTTTTGTTTCGTTCTGATGTCGTTTTGATGGTCTCGCTGACTTTTGTGCGCAGATGGTTCCGCACCGGCGACATGCTCCGGCTCGACTCGGAAGGCCGCCTCTTCTTCGTCGACCGCCTCGGCGACACCTTCCGCTGGAAAGCCGAAAACGTCTCCACCAACGAGGTCGCCGATGTCGTTGGGGCCTTCGCCCAGGTCGCCGAGGCCAACGTGTACGGTGTCGCGGTCCCGCATGCCGACGGCCGCTGCGGTGCGACCGCCATCACCTTCGTCGACGGCGTCACCGGTGCAGACGGTTTCGACTTCAAAGGGCTGGCGGACCACGCCGTCCGCTCGCTGCCGCGCTACGCGGTGCCCGTGTTCGTGAGGGTTACGCCGAAGCTGGATTATACGGGGACGCTGAAGATGCAGAAGGGCAGGTTGAAGGAGGAGGGCATTGAAGTTGGGAAGGTGGAGGAGAGCGGCGATCAGTTGTACTGGTTGCCGCCGGGTGGAGATTGCTATGTGCGGTTTAGGGATGAGGACTATGCGCGGATCAAGAGCGGGGAGGTGAAGCTGTGAGGGGGGTTTGGCGTAAACAGGGGAAGAACTGGAAGGAGAGGATATGGCGAAAGAGTTTTCGGCGATGGGCACGGTAATTGTTGGCGTGTAGGGTGATATCATAACGCAAAAGACTTGGATAATTTAGAACGCTCTATCTACCAGTAAAGATGAATCGTGGCCAAATGAAAGGGTAAACACATCCCGTCTCGTCTCACTCCTCATCAGGCCCCACCGGCCTCGTGCTGGCGGCCAAGTTGCACTGCCTAAACAACCTGACCTCATCCTCGGCGAAGGCGCCGACGACCGAGTGGATGACGCCCTGGTTGTTGAACAGCACCATGTCGCCCTCTTCCCAGTCGTGGGGATACACGTATTGCGGCGCGATAGCCGGGCGCTGCAGGCGGTAGACGGTCTCGCGCACCGTGTCGAGGTCATCGATGACGCTGCCGTCGGCGAGATGGATCTTGCGCACGGCGCTGGGGTGCACCTGCAGGGCCAGGCGGCCGGTCACGGGGTTCTTCCAGCACATGGGCAGCACCATGATCTTGTCCTGCTCGACAGGCGGCAGCTCCGACTCGGGCAGCTCCTTGCCCTCGCTGATCATGCCGAGGCCGGTGGGGCGCGAGGCGGCGGTCGACATCCACACGTAAGGGTGCGGGGCGTACTCGACCTTGCTGGTGCGCACAAAGTCCTTGTCGGCCTGGGAGAGCAGGTCGTACATGCGGTAGCCGCTGACGAAGGCGGTGGTGCCGAGCGGGACGTCGAGCTCGTCGCCGGTGCCGTCGTCGTAGCGGCAGGTCTGGCGGCGGCCCTTGGGCACCTGCACGGCCAGCAGCGACGTCACGCGCGGCGGGTTCAGGGCGTACAGGGCGGCGTCGATGTGCCAGCGGAAGAAGCGCGTGAAGGCCAGATCGTCGGCATCGGGAACGTGCGTCTTGTGGAACTTGCGGTGGTGCGGGTGGCGCAGCTGGATGTCGGTGAGGCCCTCGTACGACGGCACGAAGCCGTTGCCGATGACCTGGACTTGCGGCTGGTGGGGGATGGTCTTGAGGTCGGGGTGCAGGACGGAGCGCTTGGCGTCGAGCGTCTTGCCGTGGCCGTAGTTGGACGAGGACGGGTCGAACCGCTGCGTCAGCTCGTACTGGGCCTTTGGCGAGAGCTGCGGCGACGTCTTGATCACGACGACGCTGTTGCGGTACAGGGCATCGCGGAGAAAGTCGAAGTCGGCATCTGCGCGGGTTTATGTCAGCCCAGGTGTCGTGGCGATGGCGATTCGACATTCATTTACTTACCCAAGGTGGTTACCGATCCCCGGAGTGCACCCTTGTTTGCGTAGAACCCATTTCATCAAGTCTCAGTCACATGTTTGTCCACGACTTACCGCTCATGTTCTCCACGTCAAGGCCGGTGACGACGGCGCCGAAGTCGACGTCGGACCCGGGGGCCTTGGGGAGGGGCTGGATGGACGGAGATACGGAGTGAGGCATTTTGGGAGATTTGGAGACGAGGAATGCAGTGTCAGTATGCCAGCAGCTTAAGGTTTTGGCAGTGGTTTGGAATGGTGGGGGCCGGAGGGCGGCTTGGAACGAAGCTTATATAGGCGTGGGAATGGAGGGAGTCGGAGGTCTCCTATCTCGGCGATGGTCGTTGCGTAAGGGTTTGAGCGGCTGCGGGTGGCGGGGCGGAGGGGCAAAGGTCGGAGGGCACCGACGGCCTAATCGCAGCGCCGGAATCTTTCTCCACACCAACCATGTCGAGAAGCCTGTCAATCTGGAGAAACAATCGACACTCGTCCACTCAAACGAATCCAAGTACAGCCGGATTTGTTCACTGCTCTCGGTGATAAGCCAAACTGCGAATTTCTCTCGGATTCCCTTATCGGGCTTCCCGGTGTCTATACAAACTTTTCGCAACGCTGTCTAGCGCACTGCTGAACAATACCCTTTCTACAGCCGCCGCACTCGCACTTCCCCACTAGTACTCGCTGGGTGAGCTGCGGACCATCGCGGGTACGGACAGCCTAGGAGGGGGTGAGTGGGGCCGACGGTGACATGTCCGGACAGTGCTTGTCCTCCAACGAGGTAAGATGGCGTCGCGAGAGTACGCATGGACAGTAGAGCGAGGAAGTTTTAATGCAAGGCACAATTTACTCATGGATTCAAGGTCTAGAAGCCGGCCTCTGGCTTCATACAGTCACGTGATCACGCGCCAGCAGGCCCGCGCGCACTGACCGCCCTGGCGGCGCCTGTGTCGCTCTTCCCGTCCTTTGTCCAGCACACTCGCGTCTCCACCATAATACGCCGTTATTGTCACCATACATACACATGATCCGCTGACTCGCTGCCGCCGCTCACACGCGCCGCCTTCAATGGACGACACGTTCCTTCTCCTCCCGCTCCGAGCAGAAGCAGCGCGCGTCCGCCGCCACAATGCCGACAGCTGCTCGTGAAGTCGTCCTCCTCTCTTCCTCGCCACCGCACATCCCAGACTCCGATATAATTTCCACCCCGCCGCACCTGCGCAACCCACCATCGCCATCGCCGCCGCCAGTGCCACAATCCCCGCTGCCGTCCCCTCATAGCTCGTCGAGTCTGCCGTCGCCAACCGTCTTGTTCAAGAGGCCTGCCCTTCACGGCTTGAAGAGCGGTTCGCGCGCCGCGCCTATCCCCGATGGCATTACATTGGGCTTTGCGAGCGCCGGCGCATTGGTCAAGGAGCGCGTCTTGAGTCTGGACGCAGACGTTGGTGAGGAGAGCGGCGTTGGCCGAAGCAAGCGCAAGGAAGCCGCGAAGAGCACATCCGGTCGAACAAAACCTGCGAAGCGCGCCGCGAGGAAGGCCGTTGAGGAAGGGGATGAGGCCATACCAAAGAAGCCTAGGAAGAGCAGGAAGAAGGACGAGCGGGAGCATGTGCCGCGGGTCGTGGAGATTGTCGAGGAAAACGTGCTTCCGGAGGGCAGTGGCCAGCGGGAGACAACGAGCGGCGTCGAGGACACGGGAGTTGCCAAGGGCAATCAGGATGCAGCTGCCGTGGATAGTGGGGCCGCAGAGAAGCCAAAAGGGCGTAAGACCAGGGCCAATTTGAACAACTCGGAATTGATCAGGAATGTTCTCGGTCTTGATCCCATTGTGGAGCTACCACAGAGCGAATCGCGCCGAGGCGGAGCGGTAGAGAAACTGAGGAGAAGGAAAGCCAATAATGACCCAGCTCAGCCCCCTGCTAGTCCTGTGGAGAGTGGTACATCGGCAAAACCCAGTCGTCACGATCCTGCGTTGGATGAAGCTTTGCAGGATCAAGCAGCAAACCCCAAGAAAACGGCAGAGAAGAAGCCGAGAGCGAGAAAGACAAAGAAGCCCGACGATGCCTTGGTGGAGCCTCAAGAGCTTGCGGAAACGGCGAAAGCCCCGAAACCCCGAAAACGACAGACCACAACCCGCAAGAGCACGAAGACAGTTTCAGATCATTTTTCTCCCGACAACTTGGTCGATACTGCAGCCCCCAAGATGAGCCTTTCCGTGCCGGTCAATAATCCCCCCGAACCCCTGGATCTTTCACCAGCATTGATGCGCAGACGAAGCTGGACACCCCCCAAGGATACCAAGTCCTCGCCAAACGGACATGATCCAGTAGAACCCGTTGACCTGTGTGAGAACCCTTCCGAGAAGACTCCGGTTGCTGTAGGCTCCAAACCATCGTTCGCAGAGCTGCTCGATGCTTTTGGCTATGAAGGGCAAAGAGCTGGATCCGAAGCCTTGGCTTCTCGGACAGAGTCTGGTGAGGCCTTCACCAAACGAAGGAGATTGGAGGTGAGATGTTCTCCGTGTCAGACCAGTGGGAGAAGATGGACTGACCTGTTACAGCCGATTGAGAAGCCAAATCAGCCGGCCGAAGTCAGCATCCCCGAACCCTGCGATATGCCTTCGGAGAATATCAACAAACCGGACAAGGCACCCAAGAAGAAGCCCAGGACCATTACCGATCTGGCAACTGCTGCTTACCGCCCAGTTGCCCCAGCTGAAATCTCAGAACCGCTCAATCCACCCATTGCTCCAACTGTGTCAGCCTTCTTTGCACCGCAAGCCGACTCAATGCCTGACGCGGATCGACCCGATGCCCCCGAAGCTGAAAAGCCTAAACGCACTGGGCGATCCAAGAATCCGACGAAGAAAGCCGAAAGCAAGCCTAAGAAGCCGACTGCAAAGTCTAAGAAAGCCGTCAAGCTGGCTGCCGAGAAGCTGTTGTCGCCCGAGTCGGCATCCCTTCGGATGGATCGTCAAGACATCCTGTTCGGCACCTCCTCCCAGCTTGCCCGAGAAGAATCGCCCACTTTCGTCAGAGACCTCCAGCAAGCCATCCGAGACTCGGAGATGTTGGGTTCGCAGATTGACAACCTAGAGACTTTGCATCTTAAACCGGCCGTATCTGGCTCTGGTCTTTCACTGATTGGGCAACGAAAGGGATTGTGGGCTGCAGCGTCCAGAGACCATGAGGACGGCATTCTTGAGCAAGAGAAGTCAGCCAATCAGGACAGCGAGAGAGACGTCTTTGTCGATGACGGCATGGATTTTGTGCCCGAAGTCCCAGAGGAGGTTCCATCAGTCACTCAACACCAGGCTACAGCGACATGTATTGATGCGAACGAACAGGCCACCCAGGAATCAGGAACGGCTGAGTTGGCGAATTGTAGTACCGATGACCTCCCTGAAGCACCGTCTATGTCTCTGGGAGACGGCGACGATTTTGAACGCGTCCCTAGCGCTCAGCCTGTCCAACCATCATCCGATTACATTGATATTGATGAATTTGATCATGACCAGCAGCTTTCTCATCGATCGCTCTCCTTGACATGGCCAAGTTCCCATTCAACGTCTCATTCATCGCCAAATGCTCGCAGGACCGCGTTACAGCAGCTTGGAACACGTCCAAACATCCCCCTTCTCCCACAGTCTATATCAGACGTCTCCAGCAACTTGGGCAAGGCCATGTTCGCAACAAAAGCAGCAAGTCGAAGCAAGAAGGCCGTCGCTGCGGCAGAGAAGTCACCCACAAAGCGACCAGTAGGCCGGCCACGCAAGGTAGCTGCCTCCGACGACGGTGTATCGCAAGACTCTGTGGGAGAGACTTCAATCGCACCGGTCACATCACCCTCAAAACGCCCTCGTGGCCCCAAGTCCAACGCTGCTGTGGCAGAGAAGGTGAAGAGCCCATCGAAGGGCCCAAAAGGGAAAGCCCGTTCAACGTCAACAGCGGCTCTCTTAGCTACTCCAAAGAAACAGAAAAGCAAAAAGAAAGCGGCAGCTAAAGAAGAATGGCCCGATATAGACGAGATTGAAGACTCTCAAGAGGAGACCAGCCCATCCCCACCACGCCGCACAAAAGCCGCAACTGCGCACCCGCCTTTGACGTTGAGTCTGTCGCAAGAGGAGCGCAATACAGCCGATGCTTTCGAAGGACCGACTGTACCCGTGCCTGGTTCCACGGCTCGTAAGAGTACCGAGAGAGTTCCGCATTACTATCTAGAAGCCGTCTTTCCCAAGATCACCACCGTGGTGAAAGCCTGCCGGCCATCAGACAACCCTTCACAGCCGTCATGGCACGAGAAGATGCTATTGTACGATCCGATTGTGGTGGAGGATCTTGCAGAGTGGCTCAACGGTCAAGGTGTCCAGGTGGGCGTGCTACTGCCCGTCGCGGAATCGAGGAGGGGAAGAAAAAAGAGGGAAGAAGCTGAAGCTGAGGGAATCTTGATGGAAAAGCCGACTAGCAAAAAGATGCAGGAGTTGCCGGATTGGGCGGTGCAGAGATGGTGCGAGGAAAATAGCATATGCTGCATGTTCAAGGAGTCGCCATGGACTAAAGGAAGGAAAAAGAGAGCGAAACGTTGACGGTCAAGGTGGATAAACAGGTCGTAAAGATACCCTCCTCCTATTTTAATATAGGTCGTGCCGTTTCCTATAGGTTCGTGTCCCCAATCGTCGACTCCGCAGATCCCTTAAAGTCGCACGCGCAGTACAACCGTGTTTCGCACCGGGAAGCACGGTATATCATGTGAGCAAACGTATCTTGGCTGAATGCGCAAGGGATGTTTCGTGGCGCGCTACATCCGCCCCCACGCGGCTGCGCCTTGCACATTCCTTGCGTTGAACCAGCTTCGACCCGCACTGCACACCAACGGCAGACCACCCGCAAAGAAGACGAGGAAGAAGAAGCGAATGCAATGATCCACTGGCGTTTCCTCCAGGTTTCGGCAGGCTTATATGTCCCGTATACCAGAGAAGGCGGTCATCGAGCATTGGAGCGGGTTGTTGATCGGCCCCCACCTCGACTCCGCCACGGGATGACGGAACGAGGCACTACTGGCACCCGTTCCGTGTGCCACCGACCCTCTCTTTTCCTCGAGTAAGGTTTTGCGGAGGGGTGACGGTGGCTGATATCAGGCCGAGCTCAGCCCCCCACAGCCTCGCCCATGGGGGGCTTCGGTTCTGCCTTGGTCGCCATTGCTGCCTGCTTGTTAGACAAAGAGGGACCTTACCTAGGCTGACTCCGGTCGCCCCGCCCCGCGCTCGCCCTTTTGCGCATTTTCCGACGCCCGGATATGCTGAGAATCCCTTCTCTCCATCCTGCCGCCCTCATCGATAGGCCCTGTTCCGTTTTGTCGATGATTGAATAACAAAGTGGGTGCTATGTTAGCCTTGGTGTACGCCATGGTAATGTAAACCGTTTTCATTTCGTCCGTCGAAGATTAGGAAAGAGAATACTGCGGTCTTTTTTTTCTTCGCGTCTCGAACGGATTCTGGCTAACGCGCTCGGCCTGACGGAGGGTGCCGAATGGTAAAAGGACATTATCAGCCCCGTTCCTAACAGGAATCTGAGTCTGGCCGCCGAGGGAGCAAGAGAAGGAGGGCCAGGCGGCGACAGCAGCCTCGCCGCGCGCATGGAGACCAATTACATGGCGACAACGCGATCAGCCTCGCCATCGACCTTTACCCTTTCCAGGGGCCGCAACAACCGGCTGTCGCTGCTCAGCAGCAGCAGCAGCAGCGCCGCTGGCCGGTCGGCGGATGCACGCAGCCTTACCAGGTCGCCGCCACCGTCTTACGATGGCCTCACCGGTCTGCCGGTTGCCTCTATCCCTGGTGTCGGCAGCGGCGGTGATACGGCACATGATGGTGGTGATGACGGCAACGATGTGTCTGCCACCCTGGACGCTCATCTGCCATTGAGCGTGTCGGACAAGGGCTGGTCGGAGGTCGAGTCCGTGTCGAAGCAGTTCCTGGCCGAGAACCTTCCGGGCTGGATAGCCTCGATGCAGGCAGAATCCAGAGGAGCAGACGGCGGGCCGAAGTCGCCAGCCACCACCGCCGCCGCCGCCGACCAGCAACACAAACAGCTCTCGCAGATGATCAAGGCCGGCGTCCGCAAGGGCCGCAAGGGACTCGTGCTGCGCCTGCTCAGGCGCACGGCGGACGCGAACGAGATGGTCGACCTGCGCTTGGACAATGCCGCCCTCAATGCTGGTCAGCAGGGCATCAAGCGCAATCTTCCTGCCCATCTTGCATGGAAGCAAGGACAGCAACAGGCTGCTGGACGACCGGAATCGCTGCCCGTGCAGGAACTCGAGGCCAAGTCGCCGGCGATGGTCGTCCGGCAGGTGCCAGGCCTCCATGAGGCGCCGGCGGCGCCGCCCGTCTTTGAGTTGCCGACTACCCCTGCCACCCCACGTGCGCCTCGTCCGGCCGTTGTGGTGCCGCCGCCGCCGCCGTTGCAGCAGGCTCCCGATGCTGACGGGGATCCAGATCAGGCTGAGGAGAAGGGTGATGACGACGTCTCTCTGGCGACGTCGCCCACGGAGAGCCTTCTTCGTACGCTTTCCTTTGGACCGGACGAGGCATCGGCCTGGTCGGAGCCAGTCATGGACCACAGCGACTCGGACCATTCGTCGCCGTCGAGCATAGTGCCTACTCCGACGAAGGGGCTTTCCGTCAGGCACGCAATACACAAAGTGATCAAGCCACCACAGCCCTTTGGAGCGCCTGAGACCGGGGCTTCTGACCGCGCGAGGATGTTACCGCTTGACATGGAGAGCCTGAACCGGCGTCTCGCGGAGAGCTCTACGAAGTCTTTGGAGGAAGATGGCCCCGAGGATGAACATGGGTTGCGCAGGGACTTGGATAAGGCAGTGCCAGCAGCGTCTCATGAAACTCGAGATGCGGCGAGCGGCAGCGAGCCGGTCCAGCACGAACCGAAGCAATTGGCCAGCCACCGATCGGATCACGTAACGGCGGGAGGCCCCGCCAACGGCGCGAAGATGGCAACGGACAATGTTGTCGCGGCCGATGCGGACGATCCGGCGATCGAGGCGGCAACGAGCCGAGACAGCCCAGGGACGCACGATTTGCAGATCCCTGAAGCACCCGCAGAACTCGTGATATCTACCGACTGCGGCCCCAGACCCGGACGCACCTATGGAAACGTACCGATCCGGTCAGGCACCCCACAAGGCCCCCTTGCCGTCCAGAGTCGGGCATCGATGCTGCAAGACAGCGTGGGCAGCCAGCGGACTCCTCATGTAGAGCAGCGCGACAGTCACATCTCCACTACGCCATCGCACGTGTACGGGCTCAGGGACGATGCGAGCCAGGGTACGCGGTTGGACGGATCTGTCACACTGCCGACCCTAGTCGTAGGCGAACCCGACAGCCCGGGCGGCAGCTTGTGGTTGCCTTCGAACATCGAAATCAGGCCATTGCCAGAAAAACGAAGCCCGACGTATCGCTTCCTGTCCCACGCAGCCAAGGCCGCGTTGACGCAGCTGGGACGCGTGGCGGTGGGTTTGTACGACGCATACGGGCCTGAGAAGCCAGTCCCCAAGGATCACGTCCGCGTCCGCTGGACCTGCGTAAGCAAGCCTTGGCTCCCGAACCTCAGACTGCCCGACTAACTGACTAACTACCTCAGACGTGCGGGCAAGAGCTCCACGATGACTTCATCGAGCGCCGCCGCGGCGCCGCCCGCGAACTCGAAGCCTACCTCAACCGCCCACGCGCCCACGCGTCCCCCTCGCCCGACAGCACAAACAGCAGCTTCTCCTCCGCCAGCCAGATATTCAGCCTCTCCTCCTCCCTCAACCCCTCCCCCGTCACGACATGGGGCTCCTCCTCCTTCAACAGCGGCATCGGTGGCGGCGGCGGCGACTCCTCCCCCACCGCCCTCCGCAGCAACAACCCCTTCTCCGTCCGCATCGGCACGCTCCCCCCGCCGCGCTGGCTGCTCACCTGCGCCGACGAAGGCCAGCTGGTGACGAAGCTCTCGCACGTCGACGTGACCGAAACCAAGATCCGGTCCGACCGCGACCTGGCCATGGCGGTGCGCGCGCTGCACGCCCACGTCAACCGCCGCCGGCGCCTGCTCGCGCGCCTGCTGCGCGGACTCTGCCGCATCGACTTCGTGCAGTTCGAGGTGCACCGAAACCGCGTCGTCGACATCAGGAAGTGCCCGGACATGCCGCCTGTGTCGAGCAACACCAAGCAGAATCACAGCTCGTCGTCACATCGGGAGTATGACTTTGAGCCGCATGAGCTGGTGCCGCCGGTCGGCTCGCAGTACTTGATGCATCTGTTTCGGCATCCGGAGGATTATGACAACGAGTTTATTACGTATGCGCGCGCGCCGAAGAGGAGGGGCGCGCGGCTGGATGTCGGCGTCGGGTGGGGGATCAATCTCGTCGAGGGCTTTTTGGCTGACCGCGTGTGGCTGCTCGTCATGGTCATGTTCGTGCTGGGCAGCGCCGTGTTTGCGGTCGTGTGGGCGTGCAAGAGGGGGGAGGATGTGCAGGGCGCGTTTGGCGTGGCCGGCTGGATGTTGACGTTGGCGACGTTGGTCGTGGGCTGGGCGCAGGCGTCGTTGGGGTGAGCAAGCGGGGGTGTCGTTGCTGGGGATGATGTCGTCGTGCTTTGAGGATGGCTGGAGACAGGGTTTTTTGGGCGCTTGGGGTGGCTGATACCATGATGCGTGTTTGTTCGGTCAAGGGGAGTTTATTACTCAGCGGGCTACGCGTGAAGCGGGCAATTGCTTGTTCTCAGATGCATTCTATATCGTCAATGCTGTGCCGTTCATCGTGCAACAGCCGTGGTATAGTCGGCGGATTCGTGGTGATGGCCAACCCAATGTCCTCATGCGACACCTGGTCCCCTCGGACTGGTCTGCTCGCCGTTGATAGGGGCACTTCATCCTCAGTCCATCGGTGATGTTCAGCTTGTTGTCGATACGCGCCCAAGTACGCGGCTGGCGGAGGTTCTGGTAGACCGACCGGCCACGCCTTGGGCAGCCTGACCCAATCCCACACTCCGCCCTCCCTCTTTCTGCACTTCTCATCTAGCTGGCCAGACTGCGAAAAGAACCCACGTTCCAAGTCTCCGTCATCTTCCGCCGCCCCGGTGTCACTAACATCCGCGTCGTCCACCATCATCGACCGCTCCGACCCCGCCTCGTCCAGCGTCGACAGCAGCGACGACGACAGCAACGTCCCAGCGCTCCGGCTGACACCGCCGCTGTCGTGCCTCCCTTTCTTCCCGCCGAATTCGCCAGCGCCGCCGTTACCACCATCACTGCCACCACCGCGACTCCCACCACCACGACCACCTCGGTCTCGGTCGTCGCCAATACTACTTCCATAGCTGGAACTCCCACCAGTGCCGCTACCAGTGCCACCACTACCACCACCACCACCCCTCCCCCCACCGCCACCGCCACCGCCACCCTCCTCCAACTCAACATGCCCACTGACACTCCCCCTCCTCCTCTTCCTCCTCCCCTTCCCCCAAAAGAACGACCCAGACCCAGACCCATCCCCCGACGCATCCGCCTCGGAGGACCCCGTCCCCGTCGCCGTCCCCCGACTCCAACTCCGACTCGACAGGTACTTGATAAAACCCAGCGTGCTCTCGCACAGCCTCCCAGACGTCAACCACGTCGCGGAGCCGCCGGCCGCCGCCTTCTGCAGCGCTTCCTTGGCGTACGAATGCAGGGCGGGGGCGCAGGCGCACAGGATGCCGAGATGGGTCTCGACGACGGTCCAGACGAAGATGGGGTGGGCGGCCCAGGTGGCGTCGTAGGTGCCCGAGTAGGCGCGGACGGTGTACAGGAGGCGGAGGAGGCCGGCGATGCATGGGCTGTGTTTGGGGGGGAAAACCCGAGGAAGGGGGTGGGTTGATGTGTTAGTTTGATGCGGTAACATATGGGTAGGTACGGTACACGCATCAGGGGTTCTCTTTTTTTTTTTTTTTTTGGTTCTTACTTACAGGATGCCCAGCCCCAACAGCGCGCCCAGCAAGAACTTCTTCCCGCGCCCCATCTGCAGCTTCCACAGCAGCACGGACGGCAAGCCGCACGCCACGAGGTCCTGCGCGATGGACACGGCGTTGGCGGCGATGGTGTTGGCGGCCTCGTTGACGCACCGGTACGAGTTGCGCTCCTGCGCCGCCCACACCACCGAGAACTGCAGCCAGTACGCGGCGACGGGCCGGCACGTTAGCACCAGCACGATGGAGAAGGAGACGAGGTAGGCGACGATCAGCGCCATGTTGGTCTGCACGATGAGCAGGAACGTCGTCGTGTAAGTCCCGCGCCCCAGCCGCCGGTAGAAGCTGAGGATGGAGATTTTGGTCAGGCATGTGCTGGTTGAGTTGAGGAGTTCGATGGCGAGGATCATCTGTCCGCCGTAAGGGCACCCCGTTCCTCCTGTGTTAGCTTGGGGGGATGATTTGGAGGGAGGGGGGATGGGTTTGGCGCTGACCTTGCGCGCTTGGAGCGCCATGGGCTGCGTGACGTCCCAGACGTGGCGGTCGTAGCCGTAGAGTAGGAAGGCTGGATGGGGCTGCGTGAGTGGGAGGACGGCGTGCACCAGGAGGGGGGGATTTGGCGCACCGAGGATTAGGGAGATGTCTACGCCGGCGGCGAAGAGCTGCTCGAGTTTCAGTGCCTGGATTTCTGTTTGAGGTGCTGCTTGTACTGACCACGGCGAGTATTATCAGACCATCGTCAGCACCGAAACTCCGCCTTCGCACTCGGACTCTGGTACGGAGGACAACGGCGATCAGACATATGGGATACAGGACTCCGATGAGGATGATGAGCCCCCATCCACGGCGGATGCCGTGCGGGAACTTGGACGTCTGCCATTCGAAGACAAGCTCGAGAGGCGGCCGCAGTGATTCGAGCAGCATTGCTGTGGGCAGGATCCCTAGTTCGGCGGCTGCTGAACGGCGTCGGCTCGGATGTTGAGATGCACTAGAAACATGATAAGATGATGGTAAACACTGGGTAAGTAGCCGATGAGCAAACTATCTACGCTGCCACCCCACGCGGCGGGCTCGCACCGGGGGATATATGTCAGACGCGTCGAATGCGAGGTGACTCAGGCAAAAGCAGGCACAACCTGAGCACCTATAACTTTGCTCTGATGCAAGGGATTATGCAATCCCCCGGGGACGGTTATCTTGTCCATGTCGCACAATCTGCACGGCAGGCGCCGAGCCGGTGGTCAATTTAGAAAAATGGACTAAATCTGCACTGGAAACGGTCGCTTGCCGCGTGTTCGCATCAGGAATGCCTGACGCTACTGTGGGGACTTCAGGATGCCACGGTATGGCTGTGCCCGTCTGGAATGGACGGAAGCAGCCTTTCGATCTTGACGACGTCTTTTACTTTTCCGAAATCGATACTCCAGATCTCGTCACACAACATGGTACCCTTCGCTTTTTTGTGTGCGTGTGTGCCTGCAACCCCTGCTCCCGGCGCGAACTCCCGCCTGCCAAATACCGGGGTCGATCGAGAGCAGCGAATCGGGTGCGTTTTCGCACCACGTCGTCGAAGCCATGGCAGCACTGCCTGGGGGCCGAATGAGCTGATACTCAGAGAAAAGCAATAAGACGAAGAAAAGAGGAGAAGCACGGAGATTGTCGTCGGTTCGCGAACGATATCGTAAGGCGGGCGCCGACGCTGCGGTTAGGCGCGGGAATCACAGCGGGGAAGCGGGAAGGCCGATAGACCCCCCTGTCGTCAGCCGTTTCATCCAGCATCGGCCACTTTATCTAATAGATATAGCATTCTATTTTCTTGACTCGATCTTGCGTCATGATTGTATGCGGCTATACCATCCGGCCATCTGATACCCTGCCGGTCGCGTGCAGTGTCTGGCAGATCGCCATGTCATCTGAACAAAAGAAAAAATCCTTGACTTGATCGAAGGTGACTTCACAGAAGTGGGACTGATTGTCCTGATCCCACCTTTCTTCCAGTCTTTCGTTACCTAGGGCCGTGTTTCGCCTCTCCGCGTGTAGTGACTAACGAATTCCAGAAGTCGGCGAGCTCAAATGATGGCTTCGAAGTATGCAGTGGCCATCATCGCGGCCAACAGTGCTCGAAAATTGTAGGGTAGGATTGCTGAATTTATCAGGCAATTTGACAGATGTGCATTGGTGATTGTGGCAGTCAGGAACAACTCTTGGTTTCGCACGATTCACCGCATGTCCTGCCCATAGCGGAATCAATCTGACGATCTCAGAAGAAAAACCCCCCTCATCATACCGACGGAGATATCACATTCGATATTCACATACGAAACGTCAAGCTCGCAGCTGCGGCCTGTCATTCTGCCAAGTACGCCGCTCAGTGGACCTAGATCAAAACCGTCACTGCAACGCTTGATCAATGGTTGAGGGCAAACATATCTGCAAGCCGACAATTTCGCAACTCACTCCCCATCAATACTATAGCCATTCACTTCGTTATTCCAACATGACGTCTTGAAACTGCGGTCGCGCCTTCACCCACTTGCTAAGACAAATCCATCCTGTGCTGATCCGATACGCTACCTCCCCTCTTCTCCCAACAAGCATAACATTTACCGTGGGGACGTTTGCTGGTGACTTTCCATCGCGGTCGTAGAAGGTAAGATCCGGTCGCTTTTCCAACAACTGGTCCCAGTCAGTCATTTCGCTGTCCATCCAATACACGAGATCAGGCTCTTTCGAGACTGCAAGGGCGATGAACTCGAATTTTGTGTTTCTATCCTTGGCCACGTCCCGAAGCACTTCCAGCTCCACTAGCGGATCCTGCACACGCACGATCCCGATTATATCATCCGCGTCATCTACTACAGACAAGTTCGTATCTGAGTAGAGTTCGAGAAGCCTGACGCGGAAGGACGCGGTTTGTACGCGTCCATGCAGCACTCCAGGTCGTGCATTGGATTCCCCATCAATTCTCTTAGCGTTCGACGAAGATGTGGAAACGTCATTCCAGTATCTCTCATACGTTGGCCAGAGACTTTCCAGCTTGGGCACCAGGTCAGAGAAAGTCGTCTCCCGCCAAAAAGGTATTGAATCGGGCAGCGCAGCCTCCACACAGCCCTCCATCCATGCGAGTGCCATGTGCAGTTGCGGGCATACCAGATCCTCGTCAGTATTCCATGCGTGGTCATCGTTCCATGAAGGTGGACTCTCGCACGCTTCGATCCGCTGCATCCCTTCTCTTCCCTTGGCCTCGGAATACATGTGCCAGGACACTAGCGTACCTTGGAAGCTGAATGGCGACAGTCCTGGTATTCCAACGACAGAGCCCCATGACCATGAAGGCAGCACCATGTTCGCAATCTTGTTCAAGTAGGGCTTGACGGGCTTCACCTTGTCCTGAATGCTATACGGTCGCCACAGCAGCGCCTGATCAAAAGCCGGTCGGGGAAGCCCGAAAAGCACCTCCTCGGTGCCGTACAGCGCATTCAGGATGCCAGTGAAAGCATTATACACGTCGGACTGATTCGTCAACGCCCTCGTCCTGTACGGAGACAAGTGCCTGACATACTCCTCGAACCGCGTCCCTCTACCTCCGTACAAGCCCATGGTGAAGGCCGGACTCTGATACTGCGGCGACATCTTGTTCAGGTTCCCGCGGCCAAAGCTGAGCGGGTCTTCGTGCCACAGCTGGTGCTCGCACTCGTAGCACACCTGCGCGTTGGTGAAGTACAGCTTGCGGTTCGCGAGGATGGCTTCCTGGTACGTCCAGCCGCGCGAGAACCACACCGAGCGGTCGGCCATCTCGTGGTATGTCGGCAGAACGGGTGCGACGCGCAGGTCCTCCACCGTGTCCTGGGGCTGCGCCGGGCGGGTGCGGCTGATGCCGGCTAAGCCCGTGTCCATGTTGTCTCCGTCCACGGCGATGATGACGAGAGAGGCTAGGGTATAGATACCGGACATGGCCATGATCTGCTGCAACTTGTCTTCCGGATCGTCTTGGATGATGCACAGCCTGTCCGCCCAGAGGTAGTCTATGCCCAGTTGCGTACACGCAAGCATGGCGTCCTCGATGGTCTTCGGCATGTTGCTGGCGGCCAGTCCTCCGTCTTCTTGGTAAGCTCCGATGGTGGAGCGCAAGGCCAAAAGCATCGATGGCTGAGGATTAACACCCCAAACGTAGCTCAAAGCCACATACTTGCACTTCGTAGGTGCCGCAACGATCCTCCGCCTCTTCACATCAATGACACGAAAGCCGTTTGGCAACGTATCCGGACGCCCGTCGCATTCGGGATGCTCTTGGAGACAGTGCTGGAAGCGTTCCTTGATTGTCTTCCAATCGGTGATTGCCGGTCCCAAAGGCACCCCTGTTGCTGCCGCGCTGTCTTGGATGGAGAGTTGTGGTTTTCTTTGCACATCGCCATCAAAACACAAGATGTCGCAGTATGCCGATTGGCCCGGCGCGCCAGAGTAATCGTTCCATTCGAGGAACGGCTGATCTCCGAGTGGCTTGAACATGACTTTTGCGCTGACCCAATCGCTGCCATTTTCCTTGGCGAACTTCCGTACAGCACGGAGGAGAAGGCGGCAGAAGGAGCAGCTACCCTCGCGAGCTTCTAAATCCTCGATAGGTCCCAGTGGAATGGGTAGCGGGTATTTTGGTCGATAGCAGATGGATTGATGACGGATGCGGAGATGTCTGCAGAACGAGCAGAGCCGTTGCTCCGATGATGCCGATGGTAGGCATGCACCACATTCCTCATGAAACATGCGGTGTATGGCACGTTGATCCTCTTCCGATGACCCATCCAAAAACTGAGTGCAGAAGGAGCAGTCATCTTGCGGCGTAGGACCGTCGTCGGAGTCTGAACTGCTGCAATCTTCGGAGAGGGAAATTGTGGGGGAGTCCATGGCCTTTGGAGATAGGGTAAGCGCGCCACGTGACAGCTGATTAGACCTTGATTGTAGAAGGAGAACGGGAATTTTGATGGCAAAATTGTAGAAGGTTTACCAAGGAAGGAGTCTGGGCGAACGGAAAAGCGGGTGTCGTAGGTTTTTATTGTGACACGGCCCCCACACGAACTCCACCGCCTCAGCCTCGCAGCTACCCCACTATTCCGGAACAGTCAGATGCTCTGTGATACCAGCCGCCGGAACAGGCGCGCCACGTTAGGTTGTAAAAGACCAAGTTGGTCTACATCTGCCTCGCAGAGGTATTTGAATATTTGAAACTGGTTTCCGGACGTGGGTGTGAGCTTTAACGCAGCTAGATTCATACGACTATTGGAGCCAATTCCCAACGTAAGGAGAGTGCAGTGTGCTTTGCGGGGGCTCATATAGCTCAAATCCACCGTCATACGCTGTGGTGTGAAGGGGAGCAGTAGACAGTATATGGTTCCACGACACTTTAAGCGATATGTAATCCATGCACAAGATGGACTGGATAGGGTAGATTTCTGTCTACAAGGAGCATGAAACATTAAACTATTGCTCATCCACCATTATAAAATCTGAACTTGATACCGCCATCTCGTCAGAAGTGACCCTTGCTCACCAGTCGCGTCCTCGCTTGTGATGATGTTTTCAAATTCCCCGTCTCCAGGCTCAGACATTCCCAGGTCGTCAAGGTATTCCTGTGCCATGCCAAATACTAGGTCAGAGTCATCATCAAAAATGTATTTCTGAGCTTCACCATGATCTCGGCCATCCCTTCACACTGTTTGAGCGAGGTCGTGCTTCCTCGTAAGCAGAGCGTAAGACAGCCGATCCTGATATACTGACCCTCCACTCCTACAAACATTCCCTATCAAGACCAGGCGACCAATCGACAAACGTATCTCAACACTGCCGTCCGTTTTCTCTGAGAGAGTACTGGAACACAGACACTCCACCCTGACTGGCACCACATAGACATGACTCCGTGGTCCCATCCGGTCATTCCACACTACCCCGTCTTCATAATACACCAACGACAAGCCGATTGGCATGAACCGTCGTTCTGTTTCCTCTTCGAGACCATCTCCCAAATCCTTCGCCAATTTCCAATGCAAACACTCCACGCGAATGAACCCCGCCCCCCGCGACCTCCAGAAATGCATCATCCCCAACCGGCACCCCGCCAAGCTCCAGCACCTCCATCAAAACATGCCCACTCCCATCCCGGCTCCGCAGCCCGCCACGTATACGCATGCACTGGTGCCGCAACCAACGCCTACGACCACGTCGGCGCCACTCCTGAATGGCCCAGCCGCGCTGGTAGAGCGGCGCGTGGCCGCCGAAGAAAGAGGCCGCGCGTGGTGTTGGATCGGCTTGGAAGGTATTCGACGGTCGGCGGCTGCGGCGGCTGTGGTGGCGGCGGTTGTTGCCGTGAGGGTGAGGTCTTCGCGGAGCGTGGGCGCGCGGTCGATCGAAGGAGCAGCCGATGGTGCCATCGCGGGCGGCGGCAGCGGGTGGTGACGCAGTAGACGAGGCTTCTTGAGAGCTAGTGGCTTCAGTTGTCCAGAGGAGAAGGCAGAGCTGACATCCGCTTAGTGCCGAGTCTCTGAGGTCCAGGGCATTTTGGTGGTGCTGTCCCATAGCATTCAGTAGATCCGCATCAAGGCGGGTCTCGAAAAAGGTCCCCTGGCAGTTCGTACAGAGCTTGTGTGAGGACGAGAGATGGTAATAGTATGTTGAAAGGTGTCAAACATGGTTGCGTCCGTCACGATTTGGCTTTCATTTTCCATATTGACTGCTTGATTTGATAGCAGAATCACAGTAGATGAAGTGCAATAAAATCTGGCAAAGGTAAACCTGCTTATTTAGAAGTGGGAAGCCCCGCATTTGTGGCCCCCAAGTCGCAATGTGCTTACTTCGCGTATGGCGAGCCAATCGCCGGGTGCTGTTGTAGCGTCTCTTTCAGCATCCATCTTCCATCATCTACATCCGATCAAAGTTCACGAGATACGACACGCAGACGATACAATGGTAGACAGTCCTTCATCCCTCCTTGGGTTATTCTCGCTCCACAATATTAAAGCTTCTAGACCTCGAGGAAGATACACTAATTTATCCAATTTGCTCTGAACGACGCGACATGTTTCCGCTCAATTTGTGACAGCCCATTGTGACGCAATAACTAACCCCGCTCAAGGTATTCGCAGTCATTCATGTATAAGTCTTCGCAGAACATGGCTAACTATTGACGAACCCAGCTCTACCGCCTATAGCGTATTCGTTATCGAGTGCTCTGACGAAGCAATTTGAATTGCTTACCTCGTGGTTTCGTCGATCTGGATGGCGAAACTAAGCTAAGACATCGCCTTCCTGCCTCGGCTGGTCCGTTGCGATGTGATCCACCAGCTGGAGACGCCAAGCAAGAAAAATAGCGTTGCTAGTTTACTATTAGGACCTCTGAAGAGACCATATGATATTTTAAAGAACGTGCGATGGATGGCTTACGCGTAGCGGTAGGTAATTGTAAACGATTGCCGACAGCGATGAATGATATAACAAACTGCCATGAGGGCAGGCACAACAGCCTCGTGGAATCTTGCTGCTGTCCCTACAATAGCTTCTTCAACTTGGGTCAGTGTTTTCTCTTGATTCAGGTCAAGATAGGTCCAGTTTCGCTTACCCCGAAAACGCTCGGCGTTCTCACGGTCGTTACCATAGAAGAGTGCCACAAGCTGAACGAGAAATGTGAGCGTGGATACAATTGTTTCAAAAGATACGGCCATATTCAACGGTCTCGTGGATGGTTGTAGAGTAGAGCAGAAGGCTAGAGGCTTAGGCTGGGAAGGAGTCTATTTAAGAAAGTGGGACTAGCGGGCGGTCACACAAGACAGGAAAGCGGAAGGACAGAATTGAAGGCTGGCAGCGCTCCGAATCGGGAATTGTTGCATAAACCGTTAGAACGGACCATACAGAGGCCACGAACAGATGGACTGACCGGGGGAGGGGGGACTTTCGCCAATCAAATCAAGTTGCGTAGCAGAATGCAGCGGACCGGTGGCGCTCCCGGGAATAATTTGGTTCGCATAGTGGCGTCGTAGCGTGAGGCGTTGTCGGCTAAGATGCCAAGGTTAGCAAAGATGACGGCGGGTTCATGCGTGTGATGAGCAAGGCGGTAGGGATGGAGGTTTGCGCACGCAGCTCAGGCTGTCGACGTTGATCTTGCCAGCATTCAGCACATCACGCTCTGAGACCAAAAGAGAGAGGAGGGTAATACAAATAAAAGTAAAAACTCACATTAATAGCCCTCTTCGCCTTCCTCTTCGCCTTCCTTCCCGCCTCCCTCTCCTCCTCCGGCGACAACAGCTGGCGTATGCTGTTCGTGCGATGTGATTGTCTGAATCCGCGAAGTCTCCATCCGAGTAGTAGAATAGAGAGCGGGCTTATTGCACGTTGTCGTGGTCGCTGATCTGGCTCGCCAGGCCCCGTTACCGCGAACGCTGCGATGCTCCGCCCCAAGTCTGCGCACCTCAGCCACCACCAGCACGTCCAACAGAATGAATTCTCCAATGGGGTCCCCGACGTAGCGTCAGCTGGTGCGGCTCGCTGAGAATGAGTGGCGCCTGCCCCCGCTATGGGGAGCCGGGCACCGCGCGTCGCCGCTGCCTCCCAGGGCCGTGGTAAGCACTTCCTGCTCCCTGTGGCAATTCACCGCCTTCTCGTCATTGGCTCGTCCGAGGTCCTGCATTCCTTCAACACCGACGGCCTTCATCGCGCACGCCGAGGCGACCGAATATAAGACCGTTCGGATACCGTTGCGGCTCCAGCAGGCATCTCGTTAGTTCGCAGGACTGTGTGAAAGCGAACTGAGCGCAATGGCTGACGCCAACCTCGTGCGGAATCTCACGATCCTTGGCAAAAGTTTCCTTTAATGCGTCGTGATATGAATCTCGTGCATGTACCTGCTGCTGAATTCCGCATGGATCTTTCTCCCAAGGCTTTATTTTGTTCGGGTTGCAAAGTCGGCAGGCACAGCGCAGGTTAACGTAGCCTTCCCGCTTATACTTTCTGAAAAAAAAACGGACTACGGATGACTCTGCACCTTCGCTTATTCTTGCATGGCGAGGTGCGGTGGGTATATGAGACAAGAAGGTAGCATCTTGCTGATGTGGTCAGCGGGGTTGTAATAAGTGACGGTGGGGAAATGGACTCCCGGGTAGAAAGAAGGTGTGGATCATCCAGTAACAGTCACGGTAGTTCCTAGCCACCCAGCAAACCGACTATTGAAACCACGCCGTTGGAGAAGACTAGGCTTCCAGACATTTGAACCTTGCAAACTCCCCGACTACAACCAACAGTGACGACATACACCTCCTCCGACGCCGAGCTCTCAGCCCTCAAAGACAAGACCATCCTCATAATTGGATCCGCAATCGGCCTCGCGACCGCAAAGCTCGCTCACCGTACGTACGCCTCCGCACCAGCCACCCCTTCCCTTTCCGCCCTCCAGCATGCTCGCGCCTTTTTTATTTTTTTTGCTCGTTTTCCTTTCCTTAGTCGTCCAAGATCGATGCGGAATCTGCTTTTTTTTCGTGTCGGGACAACGAACGAAGGCGAACTGACGGACTGACTGACTGACGGACGGACGGACAGACTGAATCTCGATAGACGATCAACATGGTAGCGCCCTGGACCTAGATGACCAAGTACGGCATGACGCGCGACCTCGCCGGGCCGTGGGTCGACGAGTGGAAGCTCCCCGCGAACGAGCCCCGCCGAAATCGCGCACGCGCTGCTGCTGCTGCTGCTGTCGGTCGTGCGGCCGGAGATCATCGGCAAGTCACTGTTAACTCGTGACCGGCGGGCGGATAGTCGGGTTTGAGGACGCGCTGCAAGCCAGCCAGCCAGCCAGCCAGCATGGATGGGGGAGGAGCTGAGCAAGGGCACGTGGATGAGGGGCGGAGGAGGCTGTTGTCGGCGGCGGCGACGACGGATGGTGCAGAGTTCACGGCGAACTGTCGAGTACAAACGAAGCAGACGAAGAAATGAAGGAAGAAAAGAAGCAGCCAACCGAAACATCAAAGAAACCGCACCATCGCAGCAGCAGCAGCAGCAGCAGCACCGCCCCTCCACGCCGCCTCTCTCGCTCTCTGATCGCTCGTCCTACCCCCCAACCTTAACCCACACGCCCTTACTATCCGCCGGCCCATACGGCGCAAACCAGTCATGCTCAACCCTCACATCCCTCTCCGTCGTCTCAAACAGCTCCACCTCGGCGAAGCGCCGAAAAAAGTTGCCCGCAACCAGACACATCTCCTGCTTCGCCAGCTCGAGGCCGACGCAATTGCGGCTGCCGCGGCTGAAAGGCACCCAATACCTGTCCATGACCCGTCGGCGCTCGGGATCGGCCTCATGCGCCAGCCAGCGCTCGGGGACGAAACGCTGCGGGTCTGGGAAGATGGCGGGGTTGTTGTGGAGGTCGCGCGGGGACATGGACATGACGGTGCCGGGGGGGAAGGTGTATGTCTTTTGCTGCTGGTGCGCGCCGGAGCCGGTTCCGGGTGTGGTGTAGGTCATGGGGCTGGTGGGGTTGACGCGGGGGAGGCGGCCGGAGACGGGCGAGGCGACGCGCAGGGTTTCTTGGATGACGGCGGAGAGGTAGGGCAGCTTGTCGAGGGTGCGGAAGTCGAGGAGGTGGGAGGGCGGGGTGGCGGAGCAGGATTGCAGCTCGGCGCGGAGGCGCGAGTGGATGGCGGGGTTGGAGAGGACGTGGTAGACGAGGTTGCCGAGGGTGTTGCTGGTGGTTTCGGTGCCGGCGCCGAGGACCTGGGGGGGTTGGTGTCAGTTGGCTGCGTGCGTGCATTGCGGTTGGGGGAGGGAGGGGGTTGTGCTCGGCTGTATGTATGTACCATTTCGGCTTCGAAGGCCATGCGGGCGGCGGTCTTGTCTTCTGGTGGAAGAAGATCGGATGATGCGATCTGGCGTGGTGTTAGATCTGGAAGCGTATGGAAGGACGACGCTATGCCACTTACTGCATCCAAGACGGTAGGTTCTCTCGAATCGGGCTGTCCTCCTTCAGCGAGGACTTTCTTCGCCGTGTCGAGCAAGACCTGGACGAGCCAGTCAGTTTATCGCATCTGCCTTTCAAAGACATCATCTTACAGCTCTTTTTTCCATCAGCTTTGCAACTTCGGGGTCCAGATATCGCCAGACGGCAATGGGCACGAAATTCATTATCTGCATGATTGGGATGAACTTCTGGACGTCCATGGTCCTAGCGGCGGTGCGGAGAGTTCGGTGCATGGCGGCAGCAAAGTCGGGCTCATCCAGATTGTGTCGCGGATCGGGTTCGCAGATGGTGGAGATGACGTCCATGGTCAGGCTTCGGAAGGCGTTGAAGCAGTCACACGGCTTTCCGGCCCTTCCAAGCTCGGCGAACCTGTCCAGCATCTTCTTGAGGTGTACGTGAGTGTGCGGTTCAAGTCTGGAGACATTGGCGGCGCTGAGGAATTTTGATATGGCGCCGCGTCGCTTGCGATGGACCTCGTGCTTGACGGTGGTGACTGGGTTGGTTAGATCAACGGGCGGCGGATGGTGCACGTGGCTAGCGACGTACCTCCGGTGGCGTTGGATCCGCCATCAAAGCAGTAGAAGGGAGCGTACTTTTCCAGTTTGTTTGTGCTGTTGTAAAGCACATCCCAATACGCCGGATCGGAGATGTGGACTTCGTCGGGCCCGAGACGAACGATGGGACCTGGCGACTGCGAGGTTATTGGTCTGCGTCATCAGGTCGTGGTACAGATGGCATACCGTATTTCTGGTGCATTTCTTCCCATCTCATGAACAACTTTCCGCCGCGGACAGCATTCCAGTAGAACTCGTACAGTGTTGAGGCAGCAGCAAGCTTAGGGCCGGGAACAGAGGCAAGCGGGTGGAAGAAGAGACGCTGCACGATGCGCCATAGCTGGACCAGGAACAGTGCAACAAAAGCAGTGGCCAACAGGGAGGTGGGGACCATTGTGGGAGCACGCCGTTTGTGCGAGGGCCAGGTCTGGCAAATGAAGAGATGTAGGATTCGCAGCGGAGAGGTTTGCAGCGGCGCAGGTTGGATAAGATTTATATCAGACCAGCAACCCCACACGTGGTAGGGTTGTTGCATTAGTTCCATCAGCACACGGTAGGGTCAGACGGGGGCGTTGCCGTTTAGGCTGGAGAATAGTCCGAGTCAAACGGGCCAAGCACTGTTTGTGGAATCAGGGTTGGATGAGGCGTCGTCGACATGTCGAGTCTGATTCGCTGGCTCCGTCCCTCTCCGGGAGCGGCGACGGTTGCTGCAACCGAGAGTGGGTCGTTTCCCGCCCCCACTGCGCAGGTGCAGGCATCTTGCAGCCCGGGGCAAGCACGCTCGGCTGATTGATAAAGACTCGAAGCAGAGCGGTGACTCGCGGATTGGGAATACTGCTTGGTGCTTACCGTCCTTATCGGCTCCGCACACATCCCAAAGGTCGAGGGAAGGGCTTGCCTAGTTCTGTCTTGTTGGCCCTTTGGCTTAGCCAGGAGCGTTGATGTGACATAAGATGGAAGTGCTGATCACGTGGGGTCGCGTCTGCGTGGATGGGCAGCATTTTTGTCCGCACGCGCAACCGCACGCCCTGCGATTGACAGCAGTGGGGAAGGGCCAAGTAAGGCCGAAGAAAAAGGCAATGAACACGGTTTGGAAACCAAAGTCTCGTCAACCCCATCATCTTCACCCTTCAGCAGTCGCCCGAAACCGCCGCCATGGTGCACCACCGCATCGTCGCGCTGGAGGCCATGCACACGGCGCCGCCACCCTTCGACTTCCCGGCGCCGCACACGTTCGACATGACGGTGCACCAGCGCACCGAGGCGCACCAGCTGCACGAGCGCATCCGCGACGCGACCATCGTCATCAACGTGGTGCACCCGATCAAGGGCGAGGCGCTCTCGCCGGCGGTGACGCCGCACCTGCGCCTCATCGCCGTCATGGCCGCCGGCACCGACAGCGTCGATCTGGACGCGTGCCGGGCCCGCGGCATCCGCGTCGTCAACTGCGCCCACGCCAACGTCCAGAGCGTCGCCGAGCACGCCCTGGGCCTGTACTTTGCCGCCCGCCGCCGCACCGTCGTCATGCACGAGCGCACCGTCGGCTCCGTGGGCGACGGCACCGAGTGGGCGGCCAGGAACACGCTGAATCCGTACATGCGTGCCGCTGGCGGGCGCGCCCCGCTCAACTGCGACGAGGAGGTCGTGGCCATCATCGGGAACGGGGCAATCGGTAGGCGAACGGGGCTGCTGCTGCTGCAAAGGGAGGAGAGGCTGATGTGATTTAGGCAAGCGCTTCGCTCAGCTCGCGCGGCTGATGGACATGAAGGTGCTGGTGGCGGCGCGCAAGGGCGACAGCAAGCCGGCGCCGGCCGACCGCGTCTCCTTTGGCGAAGCGCTCGAGAAGGCGACGGTGGTGGTGCTGACGTGCCCGCGCAGCCCGGAGACCATGGACCTGATGTCGACGGCCGAGTTCGAGCGCATGCGGCCCGAGGCGGTGGTCATCAACGTGTCGCGCGGCGGCATCGTCAACGAGCGGGCGCTGGTGCAGGCGCTGCGCGACGGCAAGATTGCTGGCGCCGCGACCGACGTCTTCGAGAAGGAGCCGGCGCTGGGCGGCGAGAAGGCAGACAGCGTGCTCTTGGCCCCCGACGCGCGCGGGCTGAACTTGACCGTCAGTCCCCATGTTGCCTGGTTTGGCGAGAAGACCATGGAGAACTACCAGCGCATCCTGGCCGCGAACATCATAGGCTGGTTGGTGGGCAAAGAGCAGAATGTCGTTGCCTGAGTCGCCAGTTATTAGACAATATTAGATCCCAATCTTCGTCGAACATGTCTTCGCCCGGAAGTCCAACGCCCGCGCGGATCACCCGCCTGCCGAGACACGGCTCCGGCTCCAGCTTTCGGTCCGCCGAGGGAGCCGCCTCTCGGAATCGGTATCAATGCCATCACTACTGCGCTAACCAGCCCTTCTAACCGGATCTTTGGCCTTCCTACCCACCCGTGCCGCTCCTCTTAAAACAGCAAACGCCACTCGCTAACTCGACTCTACCCCGCCATCCTACACAATACTCTTACCCGTCGAAGTCGGGTTCGTTCCGAAGGCCGAATCGCCGGATACACCAACGATCCGTCCACCATGACTACGCCAGACAGGAAACAAAACGGTCCGGTTCAAAAATTGCGAGCGCCCTTTGAGCTCCTGAGCCTTATTACACCGGTACACCACCTGCCTGATCTGCCTCGCCTTTACCCCACCAGCCAGTCAGAGCGCGACGGGTACGCTGACGCTTGGAGCTACGGCTGACGCTTGGAGCTACGGCTGAAGCCACGGGCCGTGCTACGTGGATGGATTCCGTGCCGTACTTAAGTGACGTTGTTTCCTTATTTTTGGTGCCCGTGGAAGCTCTCTTTGCCTGTTTTCTAGTGCTTAAAAATACATCCTCATCTTTCTTCCCTTCTTGATTTCCACAACACCATTTCCTAGTTCCATTATACATACTTCAGCATGCAATTTCCAGGAAACATTGTCCTCGTCACCGGCTCGGCTGGCGGCTTGGGAAAGGCCATCGCCGAAGCCTACCTGAACGCCGGAGCCAAAGTCTCCATCTGCGACATCAACGAGGAACGCCTAAACGTCACTACACGCGAATTCAAGGGAACATACGGCAACGACAAATTCCTCGCCACAGTCACCGACGTCACCGACGAACCATCAGTCAACCACGTCTTCACCAAGACCATCGACAAGTTCGGCCGCCTCGACATCATAGTCAACAACGCAGGTGTTGCTGATAAGTCCGTTCCCAGCCCTGCTTTCGAGACAACCATTACGCCCGACCAAAACTGACCACGGCCCACAGATTCGACCCCGTCGGCGACGTCGACCGCTCGCTGTGGGATCGCCTCATTGCCATCAACCTGACCGCCCCCTTTCTCTTCTGCAAGTTGGCCGTCAACCAATTCCTCGCCCAGAAGCCTGCCGGCGGCATCATCGTCAACATCGCCTCCGTCGCTTCCCTGAAGACCGGCATAGCAGGTTCGTCTTCCCCTTCATCCCCGGAGACCCGTTGCAACGCGAACGACTGCTGAGCGCAAAACAGGAGCTGCCTACACGGCCTCGAAGCACGGGCTGCTGGGCCTGACTAAGAACACGGCTGCCATGTACAACACGAAGAACATCCGGACCGTCGCCGTGCTCCCTGGTGGCATGGACACGAATATCACCGAGGCCATGGCTGCCGGCATGAACCCCGACGGCTGGGAGGTTGCCAAGAACCAGATGACCCAGAGCTACAACGATGTCCGGGATGTCGCCCAGACGGTGCTGTTCTACTCGAGCCCCACCGCCAAGGGGAGCAATGGTGCGGTTGTGAGCGTCGATGGTGGATGGCTGAGCTTCTGATTACCGTGTAGTGATTTCGGAATGTCATGTGCGCCATACTTATATTCGCGTAATGCTGATTGGCCCTGTCGAAACGCGCGGTCTATCCTTGTGCTCATCAACCGTCGGCACTTGTTGAGATCATCGTGTCAAGTGCCGTGGTATGCTTCTCATTGTGGGTCGAAGTTGCAAATGCCGACTTGTACTACCGACCCCTGCACGTCCATGGGCATCCTTTGTCATGTACGTGTTCGGCTTCGGTAGGAGCTTTAACATCAGGTTGCCCCGCCTGCGCCTGCATTGATCAGCCCACTGTGCAGCTGTGCTATCCCTAGTAGTTTCATGCCGTTAATATCTCCGCTACATGGTCGTCTACTCGTCTCAGGTTAACCCGTGCCCGTACCCTTGGCTCTGGATGCAGATAACCTTTGAGCCTTGGAGGCTATCTTTGCGGGTCCTACTCATGATCAAAGCTTGCGAGTCATATATGTGCGGAGTAACGTGGATCCCTTATAGCCAACCCCACATTTCACTTGGCTCAAGGAGGGGTCGAGCGGGACATGACACAAGCTTCCGCAGAAGCCGTGGATGGTACATGAGTATATATACTTTGGCATCTGTAGAACGGCTGTATTTCGTATACACACCAACCAGCGTCCGCCGTGAACACAACACCGCAAGTTCCACCATGCCACTCAAAACCCACCACCACATCTCCTCGGTCAAGGGCCTCTCCTCGGTCACAACCCTCATCACCGGCCCTACATCATCCATCCTCATCGACCCTCCCTTCCTCCTCCCCGACGCCGAATCCGTCGTAGCCTGGATCAAGAAGACCGCGCCAACCACCCAAGTCCGTCCAAGCCACCAATCCCAACTGCCCCATCCAGCCCCCCACCACGTCCCTCGAACCCCAATCCCGCATGAAACCTCTAAAAAAAAAAAACCCCCCCACCCCCCAAAACCAAAACCAACACCCCACAACTGACCCCCCATCCCCGCACAGCTCACCGCAATCTTCACGACCCACCACCACCCAGACCACTACTTCTCCGCCAACCCCATCCTGGCCGCCTTCCCTTCCGCGCGCTTCCTCGCCGCGCCCTACGTCTGCGCCGGCATCGACCGCGAGTACGACGAGAAGGTCAACTACTGGCCGGCGCAGTACGGCGCGCACAACTTCTCGCCCGACCCGCCCGCCAAGCCCGCGCCGTACCCCTTCAGCTTCGTGTCGGTCGATGGGGAAGTGGTCGTGCTGATCGGCCCCGTGCAGGGGGATGCGGTGGATCATACGCTGTTTTGGGTGCCCGGGGAAAAGACGTTGGTGGCGGGGGACGCGGTGTATGGGCGGAGTAATCATGTTTGGTGAGTTGGGGAGTGTGGGAGTGGGGGGAGGGAGGGGTGGGGGGAGTGGGTGGTTGTGGTTGTGTTGCTTTTTTTCTTTTTTCTTTTTCTTTTCGCTCTGGCGAGGAGAGTGGTGGGATTGAGGGAGGGCGTTCACGTTGAATGCTCTCTGTCCTGCACATACGGGGCTATTCATTCGAGGGGGAGAGAAAACCTCAAGCCCAACGCTGGAAACGGATCTGACTGACACGTCCATGCATCTAGGGCCGAGGAAATCGAAAGCCCCGCCGTCCACGCCGCCTGGCTCAGCACCCTCGACCTCATCGAGTCCCTGCGCCCCTCCAAGATCATCCCCGGCCACATCGAGCGCGGGTGGGAGCTCAACGCGCAGGAAGACCTCGCGCACAATCGCAAGTACTTGCAGCTCTTCAACGAGAAGATCCAGCAGGCGCCGCAGAAGCCGACCGTCGACGAAATCTACACGACCTTCAAGGACGCCTTCCCGGCCGCCGAGGAAAATCTGGACTTTTTCCTTGGGCACTTGTCGAATCAGTTTGGAGAAGGTGGCAAGATTTGGGAGGAAAATCGCCATCAGCGGGTGGCGGAGAAGACGAGGGAGGAGCTGGAGGGGTGGAGGATGCCGTTGTGACGGCGTATGAACAAGGTAACCAAGTCAAGATGCAGAGATATTTATCCGACTGCGTAGATCTAAAGAACTTTAAAAAAGACCGTTACGTTTTCTCCACTCTATCCAAATTTCAATCTAAAACACACATCCCCCATCTACGTGCTTACCCTCCAAACATATCAATCTAGCAAACCCAAACCCACCCCTTGCTCACCCACCACCCATCAACCCTCCCTCCCATCCTCCTCTTCTTCTACATCCCCACTCCCCTCCCCACCACCCCCCAAACCACCCCCCACATCCCCCTCAATCCCCTGACCATCCTCCACCCTCCCCGCCCTCACCACCCTCCCCCTCTCCAGCACGACCGCGAAATCCGCGCCCCGCACCGCCTCCACCCGATGCGCGATGGTGACGACGGTGCTCTCGCGCAGCTCCGCCCGCAGCAGCGCCTGGATCGCGGCCGCCGTCTCCAAGTCGATGCTGGCCGTCGCCTCGTCGAGCACGACGACGGGGCTGCGCCGGAGTATGGCGCGGCCGAGCCCGACGAGCTGGCGCTGGCCTTGCGACAGGTTCTTGCCGCCGGGGGCGATGGGGGAGGAGAGGGTCCAGTGTTTGGCGTCGGTTGTGGTGGGAGTGTTGTTGTTGTTGTTGTTTTCGTTGAGGACGCGGTCCAGGACGGCGGCGCACTGGGCGGAGGGGAAGGCGTGCGTGGGGTCGAGGTTGTCGCGCATGGTGCCGGGGAAGAGGACGGGGTCTTGGGCGACGAAGGTGACGCGCTGGCGCCAGGCGTGCACGTCGACGGTGGCGAGGTCGACGCCGCCGACGGTGATGGTGCCGACGCTGTCGTCCTCTTCTTCGGCGGATGGGCTAACCGTGCGGAGCAGTGCGAGGGCGAGGGTCGACTTGCCCGAGCCGGTGCGGCCGACGACGGCGCAGGTCGAGCCCGCCGGGATGCGGAGCGTGACGTTGGAGAGGGAGGGCTCGAGGTGCGGCGCGTATCGGATGGTGACGTTGGAGAGGACGATGTCCGAGGCGGCGTCGGGCCAGTGCGGCGGCGGCGTGTGCGTGCCTGCGGGCTCTTCGGAGAGGTGGAGGAGCTCGACGACGCGCTCGACCGAGACGAAGTCCATTTGGAGCTTGCCGTATTGCTTGCAGAGGGAGTGGGTGAAGAGGACGAAGTTGGAGGCCGAGGTGAGCATGAAGGCTGTCAGGCCGGGTGTGAGGTCCTCGTAGAGGGCGAGCAGGGCGAGGCCGAACGTCGAGAAGGCGGATAGCGCGTCGAAGCGGTAGGTGAGCCATGCTTGGAGGCTCCAGTAGAAGTGGTCCATTTTTTGGAACGCGTCTGTCACGGCGATGACGCGGTCTTGGAAACGGGGCTGGGCGCGGAAAGCTGGTGACGGTCAGCGATATAGGTTGACGGAAGAGGCGGGGGCGTACCTCGAATGGTGGTCAAGCCATTGAGTAGGATGCCGAAATTGGACATGAGCGGACTAAGGGAGACCATCTGTGCAGTCTTCAGTCAGCTACTGCCACCGTCAGAGGACGAGCGTACATACCTCGAGCCGGCGAAGGCTTTGCGAAGTCGGCAAGAAGCGCATGAAGATGTAGACGAACCACACGGTAAGCACGAGAGACACGATGAGGAACAAGGGGGTGACGGAAGCAATCACAACGATGGCCGCAACCCAGCCGATGAGGTACCACGCCACACTCTGAAGCTGATCGCCTATCCCACCATCCAGCGTCCCGATGTCTGACGTGACACGGTTCATCAACCGCCCGACCGGAGTGACGTCGTAGAAGCGGAAGTTGGCGCGGCTGACCTTCCACATGACTTCTCTGTACAGGCGTTTACCTGCTGTGTAGACTATGATGAGCAGCGCCACGTCCGAGATGAAGTACATGGCTGTCAAAAGCATGGCGATGAGGAAGTACCAAAGCAGCCACGGCCGCACATTGGCTTCTGGCGGCGGAAGTCTGTCGAAGAAACCCGAGAAGCCAAAAGAGATGGACTGTTCGCCGACTTGCTCATAGGCCTCTCCCCAAGCCTTGAGAAACCAGTAGTTGAACAGCCTGACAGCTCGGAACAGGGCGAAGATGACGACGAGGGTGATCCACCATCTTATCTTGCCTGCCTTGATGTACTCCCAGTAGACGGCTGCGACGACTTCACCATGTTTCCTGCCCTCTTCTTCGATGAACTTATCTGGCTCCGAGTCAGGTTGCCCGCTCTCCTCGGGAGAGTCATCTTCGATAGGGGCAATGGCCGCGTCCTGAACACCATCCGGCCCATGTAACTCGGCAGTCAGAGCTTCAGCATCTACTAGTCGCGCCTTGTTATCTTGGATCTCCACTATTTGATCTGCAAGATGGCACACCAAATCAACTCGATGAGTGACGAGTAGGATGGTGCGCCCTTCAACGAGAGGGCCGCGCAAAAGTCTGTTGACGATGGTCTCGGCGGTGTTGTGGTCCAGAGCAGCCAAAGGATCATCCAGCAAAAGCGTCCGTGCTGGGCTGTAGATTGCCCTCGCAAGCGCGACTCTGGCTCTTTGTCCACCGGAAAGGCCAACGCCATTCTCGCCCAAGTCGGAGAGGTCACCGTGCTTGAAGTTCGCCATGTCAGGGGTCAAGGCACAGGCTTCCAAGACTTGCTTATACCGCGCCTCATCCAGCGGCGATGAGAAGAGAATGTTTTCCCTGATGCTCATGTGCTGAAGCCACGGGGTTTGAGCGCAGTAACCGATCATCTCATCCGGCACAACGACATCACCGGCTCGCTTATCGAGCTCTCCAAGGACTGCTTGGAGGAGAGCCGACTTACCTGTGCCAACTTTGCCAACAATGACGGTCAAACCGGTAGTAAACTGAAGATTCAAATCATCCAAGACGGTGTTTGCGGAGCCGGGCCAGGCAAAGGTGGCATCGTGGAAGGCAATGTCAGTTCCCCGAAGCTCCGAGTATTCCTCCTCCTTATCGGGCTCAGCCATGAAGTCATTGATACGGCCGACGGCCACAGAGGCGTTGAGCAAGGTCGTGATGAGACCTGGCAGCTCCCGAAGACTGACCGCCAGCATGTTGAAGAGCTGCAGTGCAGGGAAAGCAACGTCCACCGATAGCGTTCTTCCAGCAAGCAGGGTATACGCGAAGAAGGCGCAGACGGGGAACAGGCAGCCAGCCATTATATTATTCGAACCGATCAGCATCTGTAGCATGGTGGTGATGACTCTGAGGTTCAGTTCGCGCTGTCTGGCATCCATGATCTTGCCCAGCCATTGGTCCTGCCAATCGTACCATCGAAGGTGTCGGATGGCCTCGATGAACTGTGATGTCGCATGGAGCCTCTGGTCAGTGGCTACGCGCCGGATGCGCTCCCAGTGCAGCAGCAGTCGGACGAATACAGCGTTGAGAAGTTGAACGAGGATAATGACAGTGACGCCGAACAGACAGGGCCATCCAAGGAGCTTCCAGATGAGAATGACGGAAACGATCATCCGCAGTGGCTTCGTGAAAATATCCGGAAATTCCCAAAACCTGGACCGAGGATGTGAGCTTGCGTGGGATTCTTGAGCAAAACACTTACCTCTGAGCTACTTCATACACGTCGTTCCTGGCCATCGTCAGCTGCCTGTTCCGGAGACCATGATTGACTGCCTACCTCATCAGATTAAGAATCTTTCCCATTGAAGCGGGCTGCTTTGCTGCTTTTTTGTGGGCTTTTTCATCGGCTTGCGCTCTCCTGAGACGAGACAGGAGACGCGCAAGAAGGCCCTTTTCTTTGGTTAACTCGGTGGAGGACTGGTCGCTCTCACTTTCGCTGCTGACACCAAGAGCTTCGTTTTCGTCCTGCTTCTTCTTTTCGTTCTCCGAGGCACCGAAAGATTTGCGAGTCAGGGTCTTTTCGTATATCATGGTGATCATCTCGCCTCTGGATCGCTCGTAGCACCGTCTGCAATACCACAAGGAGACGACGGCAGACTGGGCAGCAATCATGCGAACAGCGAAAATGGAAGTGGCAAACACGACGGCTTCTTTCCTGCCGGAACCACCGTGTTCGATGGCACGTAGGAGTTGTTGAAGCAGGACGGGAACAACGAGATCTGCGGTAAGATCAGCAACGGCGCAAAGCAGGCGGGGATGCAGGTGGGCTTACTCGCTGCAGACTCCAAGATGGCAAGCGTGGTGGTGATGATCAGGTCCAAACCATTAGCCAGCAAGAGCCGCTTGACCACACTTCCTTTGAGTTCTCTAAACAGGGTGTGGAGGCGGCCATGTTGGAAATCATAGGGCAGGAACCAAACGTCTCCGTCGTTCAGCTGTCTCTTTGCACCGCGAGCGATTAGGGGGGTCATCCAAGACACGGTCAGAAACTGCCAGAGAGTGAGGTTATCCTCTGGACTCCGCAGCTCAGAAGTTGGAGACGAAAAAGGCTTGCTGATGCCAGTGGTGGGCTGGTTTGGATCTCGCATGGGCATGGCGAAGATGGCAGCAACCGCAAGGGCGGAGATGCATGTTTCTGAAATGGCCAAGCCCAAAAGGGCGTTTGATGCGGAAGCCGTCAGAACCAAAGAAGCCAGTTGACACACGAAAATAGTGATCAAAAGCGCCAAGAGGGTCAGAGGAGTAGACTTTGGGCGTTCAATGGCCACAATGAGAAGAGCGATGGCCTGTAAAGCTTAGTCAGCGCCAGTGTCTCATTCAAGCAGAGTGAGAGACTCGCCCATGGCGCAACGGTGAGGGCTGCGAGAGGCTCCCGAGGAGGCAGAGCGGAAGCAGCTATAGCCAGCACGAGAGCAACAGACGATAGGACGAGAAGAATGGCAGTCCAGTGGGTCCATGTCTTGCGGGTTGCGTGCGAGGGTAGCTCGGCGGCGAATCGCTTGGACCACTGGGGTCTTCGTTTCAGAAGCGGCAGCAGGGCATGCAACAGAAGCACCGCCATTGCGACAGCGGCGGGGACAGCGCTGAGGTAGCGATCGGCACGATCTTGGTCGAAAATGGGAGAGGTGAGCGCACTGCTGCCCGGGTCGCAGGCGCCAGCGCACGCCGGCCAATGCGCAAGAGGCAGCGCATCGTCGAAATGCGATATCATGGCGGCACCGTAGGAGGAGAACCAGGCCGGGCTGGCAGAGCGGGCGGGAGAGGATGGTGTTGGGGTGGCCGAGAGACGGGCAGAGAAAGTGTGGCGGTGACGCGTTAATACACGCACATCCACATCCCGAGCACGCAGCGGACCCCGGACTGCTCCTGCCGCCCTGCCTGTGTGCCTGATCTGCCGCCCTTGCGGAACGGGTGTGCCGCTCGTCGGATCCGATTAGCCCAGCTTCTTCACAGATCAACAAGGGACAATCATGTTGGCCTGGTTGCTGCCTGGAGTGTGGCCTGGCTTGGAGACTGCAGCTCGGCTGCTTATCGATAAGACCAGGAAAGACGTGGCCGTCTCTGCTTCTTCTCCGACGCGTCTCGGAGATAGCTGCTGGTCCCACTCCAGTTCATCGCGACACTTTTCCGCCCCCGCCTACCTCCAGGCCAAGCCAACACTGGTGCCTAGACTCCGAAAAGCTCCTCGCTTGCGCCAGGAGCCCCGTTGCTGAGCTTCAGCAGCTCTCGCTTCTGACCTATCATTGGTCACCCGGCTGGAGTGCCTGTCAGCCTTCGCGACAACTCGTCACTCTGGGAACTGCCCTTTCGATTTGGCACCATTCCCGCTGACAACCATGACATTTTCATCATGCAGGCTCTCTTTGCCTGTAAGGCTATGCCTTGGCACCTGTGCACTGTCGTATTCTTAGAGGTCGCAAGTGAGATCCATTATAAGACCAAGACTCCGTCAAGACTTCATACTCTCTCATCCTTGTATCTCCCCCTAAGACAATCGCCTGCAACCACTCACCGTAATGTCCAGCTCCGAGGACCTGCTCAGCCTTCAGCCGTTCCAGCCCGGCATCCCCACAGGCTTCGCATCGGCTGCAGATATCAAGAACGCCTACGACAGAGCCCGGCTAATCTGCCAGCACCACGGTACAACAGAATCTCTGCCTACAGCATCGCTCTTGGATACTGACCGAATCAAGCACTCTCCCTACAGGACATCCTCACACTTTCACCCAAGTTTTGGCATTTCCACCTCGACACCATCCACGCTGCAGCCAACAACTGTTTGGTGCTACTGACCACCCACCTGAACCTCTGCATCGGTACTTTGGGCTCCTACCTGAAGGATAGGCCTGACCTCGCGCCGCTTATCGAAAAGCTCCTGAAGTTTGAAATCAATGGCCAATATCTGCTCACCGAAGTTGGCTGGGGTGTCGACGCCGACGAGCTGAAGACGACGGCAACCATGCAGCCTGATGGCACTTTCGACCTCCACACTCCCTATCAGCAGGCCGCAAAGTTCATGTCACCAACCACGCCCGATGCTGGAATGCCGAGCGGTGCCATCATCTTTGCACGCCTGATTGTCGACGCCGAGGACCGAGGTGTCCGGCCTTTCTGGGTACTACTCCACGACAGCGAGCAGATGGAAGAAGGCGTCATCTCCTACGCCCTGCCCAAACGCGCCGGGACCCAGCCCACCGACCACGCAGTCACATTCTTCAACCACAAGAGACTAGCCAAACACTCCTTACTCGGCTCCCTAGAAAAGCCCACGGACCCCGCCGCCCACTTCGCCCAGATCGTCTCCCGCGCCAGCATCGGCACCCTCTCTATCTCCACCGTCAACGTCCCCTGCCTGAAACTCTGCACCTACATCGCCGCCAAATACTCCGCCCGCCGCACCGTCACCGGCCCCGCCCCCAACCCCACCCAAACACCCATCCTCACCTACCGCACCCAACACGGCCCCATCCTCCACGCCCTCGCCCAATCCCTCGTCTGGACCGCCGCCTCTCACCACACCGCCGCCCTCTTCTCCGCCGCGACCACCCCGCCCGCCCTCAAACCCGCCCTCGCCATCCCCTTCAAAACCGCCATCCAGCACCAAACCCAAGCCACGCTCGGCCTCCTCTCCGCCCGCTGCGGCGCCCAGGGCCTCTACGAGCACAACGCCATCATCTCCTGCCAGCACCTCATGCGCGGCAACTCCTTCGCCGAAGGCGACGTCGTCGTCGTCGCCATCCGCCTCGTCTCCGACCTACTCGCCCACCCGGACCGGCACCCGCTGCCTCCTCCCCTCGCCTTCCCCGACGCCCCCCTCGCGCGCCTGGCTGCCGGTCTCCTCGCTGAGGCGCGGCGGGTGCACGACGCGTTGCTGCCTGGCGATGGCGGCGCCGCGGACGAGGCGGCGTTTAATGCGAAGGTCTTGCCGCTGTGCGAGGGCGTGGCGCGGGCGATTGGGTGCGCGAGCGCGCACGATGCGGCGAGGCGGGCGGGGGTGGCGGGGGATGTGCTGGATGTGTTTGAGGCGGGGTGCGTGCGCGGGGAGTGGGAGAGCTGGTTTGTCGAGGAGATGGGGTGGGGGAGGGGGGAGGTGGCGGAGAGGGAGGAGAGGGCGTTGGGGAGGCTGTATGGGCGGTTGGACGAGCTGGTGGAGGGGTTGGGCGTCGGGGCGTATGCGCGCGTGCCGTTGATGACGGAGGGAGCGTGGGAGGGGTTTGTGCGCGGGTTGCCGAGGTTTGAGAGGGGGGGTTGAGGAAGGTTGGTGTTGGTGTTGAGATGGGGTCTGAGGTCTTTGTGAGGAACTGATTACTTGCTGGTATGTGAGAAGAATTTCAGGCGTCCATTCCTCAGCTATGCGCATATATCCTCAGTTCCCTTTGAAAAAGAGAGGCACTATTTACAAGTTCCAGCGATAAATAGATCAAAGGCTCAAGCTCTTCCGTATCTACATATACTCGCCTATACATTAAGTTCATACTCTTCCATCCATCTCATACAACACCACATCCTCCCCACAACCAAAGACAAAAAAAAAACAGGACCCTCAAGGCCTCAACGACCCCGCCACCCCCCTCCTCGCACCCGGCCTCCTATGCCTCCTGCCCACCACCCCCCTCCTCCTCACCTTCCTCTCCGCTACCCCATCCCCCTCCCCATCCTCAAACACGCTCCCCGGCCCAAAATCCGGCTCCCCGCCCAACGACCCAAACACATCCCCGACATACGCCCCCGGCGCCACCCCGGCCTCAAACCCGTCCTCCCCCTCCCACCCCCCCACAATCCCCCCCACAACCCTCACGCCCGCCCTGTAAATATTCTCCACCGCCGGCTCGAACCCGCCCTGATCCGCATACAGCAGGTTCTCGACCGCGCTCTCCCCTTCGTACGGCCGGTCGAAGTCGCTGGCGGTGCGCATGACGACGACGCGGGCGAAGTCGAGGAAGCGGGCGCGCGCGCCGCGCAGCAGCGCTTCGAGGGACGCGTTGTCTTCTTGCTGGGTGGAGCAGTAGAGGGCGGAGCCGTTGGTGGCGAGGGAGGTGTAGGCGGCGAAGGCGCGGCCGAGCAGCGCGCCCGACCAGTAGACGTCGGAGGTGGCGGTGTCGCAGGCGGTGAGGCCGGGGGGGAGGGAGGCGGCGGTGTAGTTTGCAGTGGTGTTGGATGATTGCGGGGCGTAGTGTGCGCGGTAGGTGATGGCGGCGGGGGAGTCGGCGAGGGTGGCGTTGGCGGCGAGGCGGAGGGCGGTGTCGCGGAGGGTGGGGTTGAGGGCGAAGACTTCGGTGCCGTAGAGGGAGGAGGGGTAGGCGAGGGGTTGGGTGGCGCCTTGGGGGATGTAGGCGGTGGTCCAGTTGGCGGGGAGGGAGGGCTCGCGCGCGTCGAATTCGTATTGCAGCGCGACTTGGACGGCGTAGCGGGCGAAGGTGACGCTGCCGAGGGTGCCGACTTCGGGGCTGATGCCGGCGATGCCGGCGATGAGGAAGTAGGTGGTGGTGAGGTCGAAGAGGGCGGAGGTGTAGAGGGCGGTTAGGGTGACGGCGGCGTTGATTTCTGTGGGGGTTAGCTTTTTGTTCGGGTAGTGTGAATGGTGGTGCTTTGGGAGGAATGGTCTGCTGTCTGTTGTATGGATTTGCGAGAACTGCGGGTTTGCGACTCTTCTTGAAGCGTGACGGTAAGGAAGGCTGAGCTTTTCTCGTCGACGGCAAGCGACCCCAGTGAGACTCATCCCGTTGTCTAAATGCCTGGCAGGCAGTAGACTTGCGACAGCTGCATAACATCCCTGCTCCACACTCCAGCCTTTTGCGATATGCATCCAGCCAGCATGTGACACGACGCGGGGGCCAGAACAAGCTCGGACATATGCCAAAACAGGAAATGTTGGGACAAGCAGGGATGTTGGTGATGATGTGAGAAGAGCGAGCAAAGAAAAATCAAGCCATTACTAACCACCTTCGCCAGTGATGAGCTGGCATATTTCGCCGTCAGCGGTGCAGTGGGCTTCGGGGAACAGCGGCGAGAAGCCCGGCACGCTGATGTTGCGGGCCAGCAGGTCGAACTCGGGGATGCCCCACCACACCTCGGCTTCTGGGTCGAACATGGACACGATGAAGACCTTGGGCTTGATCTTCTCTGTCTCTCTTGCGCGCACCCCTCTGGCGGCCATTTCAGCGCCGTCGTAGCGGTGTTGGACGACATCTTGTCGAGAAGTCGAGGGGGAAGCGGAGACGGAAAGGAAGAAGGAAAAGGCGGCGGCCACTGCCGCGATGGAAGAGAGCGTACAAAAACGCATTGTTTGGTAGAGGCGTCTCAAGTGGGATATTCCTCGACCAAGAGATGACAGCAATCGACGCCTTGCAAATTCAATTCCTCCTCTCTCGTCAAGGCACAAGGAACGAAACGGGACTCCATGTCCTTTTAAACGGCCTGCCAACAGGCCTGTCTAGGCTTTGGGACCGAGTGCGGTGAGAATAGCAGCGGGGCCGGGCGAAGCATGCGCATGCATAGATAGGCGGGCGGAGCAGATCACTGCGCATTGCGGGACTTGGCCGTGAGGTGCTGCAGCCCGCGGTCAGCGGCCCCGGCGGATGACGCACGCGGCTCGGATACCCCAACCGCAGCAGGTTAGAGGAGCGGATAAGAGAGGAGAAGAGGTAGGGGCCTGAATCACGAAGACGATATCTGGTCAGCATTCGCGCGTGCCGGATCGGCGAACGCATCCCGTACCTGACCCGACTCGGGGGGCCGACGCCGCATTGCACCAGTAGGAGAGGCCGCACTTGAAACAAACACCAGAGAGCCGCGGCAGTGGAAACGCATCTTTTGTGGCGGTGGTCAGAACAGTCGCTGCCATGTACGACCATGACCTCATCTTGCTCGTACCAACAGCTCGCACAAAGTGGCGGCCGGACGACTATTTCGGGCAGCCAGCTCTTTCGAAGCACAGCCAGTGCCGTCTACCTAAGAACTATTGAGTGCCTACAATGGCGGATAACGCAGCAGCCGGCCGGTTCCGCGGCTTGCAGAAGAATGGCTCGCGGCCGTGAGGCGTTTGTTAGTCTCTGGCTAGCTGAACAGAGACACGAAAACAGGCACTTCTACAAATAGATCTGCGACCTCGTCTGAGCCCCTTCAAGAAAAGAAGAAAAGAAAGAAGTACCTCGGCCCCATCTGAATCAAAAAGCATCATTCCCAAGCCGACAAACCCTCTCGCCTGCTGCTCACAGTACTCACACCCGACGATCCCCGCTTTCTCCAACTGGGAACGCCTTCTCGCACCATCCCGACGAATGACCACCGAGCACGAATTAGGCGAGCAACCTATTAAGCTTGCGTAACACAGCTTCAAAAAAAAATACGTAGAAGCAAGGAAAATAGTCGTGATGGCGGCCCAGTGGCATGAAAGGCGTTAGTATCCTCCGATAGGCGACCCTCTTGCTCCGCCGATCCCGGCCACTCCATGTTGAAAAAACGCTTATCGCGTCAGCGCAATCTCTTATGTAAAACAAGACTTGCAAGCCAGAAGCTGGGTGGAAGCGGTGCCTCGAAGCTGCCGTTGATGCGAGAACTGTCTTTTCTCCTTGTCGGAGCGTTGAACAACCGCATAAAAAAACCTCTCTGATGTGATCGGCTGGTGTGGATGTGTGGCCGATGGCCGAAGCTGTCCCTGGCGGCACGGTGTTATGGGGGCGGATAGCCATCAAGCACCGCCCTGATCACCTCTGCATGTGCATGAAGCACGAAATAGTAAGCTTAGTCCGAGGAAGAAGGAATTCTCCGTCCCCGTCCCATCGATGAGCCATCCATAATCTTGCAAAGCTTCATTCGCATCTACCTACCCTTCGGCGCTGTCCGACGACGACGGCAGCTGATGACCCGAAGTGAACGAGAGCAGATAGAGCTTACGTACCCTCCTTTCGGGCATCCTACCACATTTACTCTCTTATCTGCCTGTCTCACAATCTTTCCGCGAACGTTTGCAAGATACCGAAAGTCCATTAGCTTTTTCTGGTTTGGACTGCTCGGCAAATGCTCGTCTGCTAAGCATGCACGCTGGCCCCACGTTCATCGGCATCGATCTGCAATGGACCTCCACAGACCCGTCGTCGATTACGAGGATGGATCTAGAACGCTGATAGTAGAAGACAAGGAGAGGATGATGGTTCACACGTTTCGCTCCCACTTTTCACCCAAGAACCTCCGAACTCTACAAGCAGACCCCTTTGAGACACCAACCTTCCACGTTCAAAGTGAGAAAACATGCAGGCCGAGCAATAGGACAAGGAATGAGAAATCAAGAGAAGCAACAGCACTACTCAAATGCGCGCGATCTCGACACCACTAACGTGGCTTTTTCCCCTCCCCACGATGACGACGCCATAAAACTCCAGAATGCCCTCCCATCCCATACAACAAGTAACCCAGGAAGAAAAAAATGACCCACGCCGCGGCGACGGCGACAGCATTACCGCAACCACCAAGACCACGACCACGACCACAACCCCATCACGACGCCTCCCCCTCAACAAAATCCCCCCAACCCACCCCCATCTCCCCACCAACCCCGGCTCCCGCCACTCCTACTCCCCCTCC